AACAACTTGCCTTATCTGACGTGAAGACTTACTTGGAAGCCACAGTGATTAAGGCACTGTGGTGTGAATGCAAGGTTACAAAAATAAGTGAACAAGACAGAGACAGATGTAGGTGTAAAAACATGGTAGTGACATTACAGATCAGCAATGAAATAATGAACTATTAAATGATGCTGGCACAACCAGATTATCCATAGAGAAAACATGAGGTTACTTAGTCATATGATCCATGTGAATATATACAGGTAGCTGAGTAACCTAAATATTAAAAGCATTCAGCATTTAAAGCATGACCCAATGATTAAAACATTTGAAAGAAAATTACAAGAATATATGGGTGACTTTAGGTTAGAGAAACCTTTCCTGAAAAGCTTAGGGCCACAGTTTGAAAAATCAAAATTTGAAAGTATGTTTGACAGAAGATATAGTAAACAAAACTAAGGGATCTGCCACAGACTTGGAGATTTTTGCAGTGCATAAATAAGGCTGACAAAGGGTAATATCCAGAATATATGAATTCCTGTAATCTAATCAAAAAGTGGACAAAGTATGAGCAGGCAATTGACAGAAGAAATTCACTCTGCTTTATAAACATGAGAAGATGTGTGACTTTTCTAGCAATCAAGGAAATGAAAATTAGAGTAATGAGAGGCTATTTTATACCAATCTGGTTGACAAAGTTTAAAAATCTGATGATACCAAGAAATGGTAAGGATATGAGGCATCACAAACTCATGTCCTTGTAGGTGGGAGTGAAATGAGGCACCAGCTTTTAGAGAATAATTTGGCATATCAAGTAAAGTTGAAGAGGTATGTAACTAGCAGACCACTTGTGGGCCAGTAATACAGGAACTGTTACGTACGTAAAAAGACAGTGTCCACTGCTGTATCCTTCCTGACAGAGAAATCGGTCGTCACCAGAAAAGGGATCGAATGTGGTGTATTTCTGCAGCGGAAAGCTGCATAGCAGTGAACATGAAGGAAGTAGAGCTGCATGTGTCAGAACAGATGCATTCCCTAAAGGTGAAAAAAGTAAAGAGGCCGCAGTGTCATCCATGTCAATTTTGAATATATGCAGAACTGTGGATTATTTATGAATGTGTCCATATGTCATTTATGAGAATTATACATAGGATAATGAAGTACCAAATCCAGGATCTTGGATACCCCTGCTAAAGATGGGGTTGAAGGTAGGAAGGACTGTAACTGTCACCTGTCATGGTTAACTTCATTTAAATAATCTGAATCAAATGCCAGCATTGCAAAATACTGAGATTTGATACAGCCGAGTGGTGGGTGCATGGACGCTTGTATGTCCCCTTAATCTTGGGTTTCAAATATCACATGCACATTTATATATACACACAACAACACCATCAGTGGTGAGGTTGCCTGGGAAAAAGCAGGCCACCTGCTTCTCTTCCCAGGAGGCATGGTAGACTCACTGCTGTGCTGCCTTTACTGTGGCCTAAGACTTGACAGGTGGCTTCTCAGACCCAAAACCTCTTTTGACTTGTTTATTTGTTCTCCCTCCTCCCACCACCACCCTGTCTTTTTGTTTTATTGCCAGCACATCAAAAATCAAAGCTACATTTGTCTCTCAGGGACAGACTCAAAATAAATCCACAGATTAAATAAATCCAGAATGCCAGTTTAATCATTTGTAAAGAGAAACACGTATGACAGCAGCCAGCACCTCGACACAGCGGCTCATTCCATGAGCCCGGCGCTGCTTCCCGTGAGTTGTTCATGGGAAGCCCCACGGCCAGAGGCCTGGCAGTGGACATGTAACGAGAAGTCCCTGCTGCAGAGACTGACGTTCAGGGCTCCACTGTCTGCAGAGCCTCAGCCACATGGGACTCCAAGTCGAACCAGAAACAGGTTGGGTGTTGAAGGCTCAGGGTAGTGGGGTCTGCGCATCCCTCTCCAGCGCCCTGCAGAGAGGGCTGACCATACAACATCAGATCACATATTTAGTGCCCAAGGTTACCAGAGGCTCTTGGCAAAAATACCAGACCAGGTGGGGTGAGGGTGGTGAGGGCATGTTGAGGGATGGGGGGTGGGGGAAAAAACTTTCTCTATTCCTCTGCACACCCTGGAACAGCCTTCCACATTGTTAAACAGAGCCCCCGGCTTCCAGCCTGAAGACGTGCATTTGATGATTTCATCAGAGTCTTGACCAACCCCACATATAACGTCTGCATGGAAGGCAGGTTCGCCTCAGAGACAGAAGTATCCTTCATCCTGAGGGGCTCCAGATGCCCTGCAGCTGAGACCAGTCTGCCTCTCCGTCGCCAGCCAGTCAAGAGTTCACATACTGATGGCCATCTGGTCTTAGAGAAGCTTAAAACTACATTAAGGTTTTGTTTTTTTTTTCAAGACCTTATGTCTAATTTTTAAGGTCTTCGACTTACTAGACAGGGAGTCGCCAGCGTGACCACGTGAGCCCGTGGCAGCATCGGAGCCCAGGCCCGGTCCTGCCTCTGCCAGCTGCACGCTCCTTCCAGCCTGAGTCCTCTGGGAGGACAAAACTGAAGGCAAACTCTTCCTGCCTCTGACTTAAAATAAATGACAGTTTCTACTCAATGTCCAAAGGAATCCCAAGTCTGAAAGTACCCAGGCAGCCCGCTGTCCTGATGATACTGGGCGTTCTTAACTGGCTCTGGAGTGGAGGGCACTGCGTGGCAGGGTGTGGCTCTTTAAATGCAAGATCTATGCTGTTTATTTTTAAGGAAATTCTTCAGTCCTTCCCCCTGCCCCCTGCCACCGCCACACACACCTCTTTTTCTTGGTCCGGTGTGAGGACTTAGGATCTGAATTCATACACATGCACACACACTCTTAACTCATGGGGTGTGGGAGATCTCTGTTTTTACTCATTATCCCTGTTTGCCTTCAAAATGGGGTACCTGTTAAATTTCCCGATTGCCAATTCCTAGTGAAATGTGGTGCCCCGTGAATAGGTAAAGGAATTTTAATCAAATGATGTTGTGCAGCAGCCCTTTGCGTTCTGAAAAAATATTCCCAGAGTCCCTGGAATCTTCAAAATGTTCAGGGAAGATGAAGCTTCATGCAGAAGAAACGAGGAGAGAGTAGAACATGATTGTATCAGTTAAGTTTACTAGGGTTTGAGCTTGAAAAACTCTCCCCTCCACTTGCAGAGCTCAGGCTCCTCTTCCCACCATGCTGAGCCAGACCTAATTGCAGAGCATAACTGCCTCCTAACTCAGGGCTCTTGTGTCATTAGCAAGACAGATTGAGTTCTTGGAAATGACAGTCTTTGGTAATTTGTTTACCATTAAGCCTTGCAGACTCTTACTTCCTTAATACAGCAATCGGCTAATTCTTGAAATTGCAAAAAAAGAAAAAACAGCAGAACTAGCCTATCACTCTGCTTGTCATTAAAGACTTAGCTGTCAGGAGCCCTAATGAGGTACAATATTAATTCCAGAATGCATCTTTTCCCCGCAAAACAATGACTGGCATATTAATTGCAGTTTTCTCATGATTAATTAAAATCAAGCTATCTGCACAAATAAAGTAAACAGAAGAAGCCCATTTTGTGATTCTGACCTAATTGCTTTTTAATCGCACTGCTTTTCTTGCCCATTTTCAAAATGTGCTGCTCTGAAGCAGTTTTCCCAGCCACGAGGGAAGGTCAGTGCCTGCTGATGGAGGGTCGCCGGTCATCGCCCCACAGCTGCCAGAGCATCCGCTTCAGACCTGGACTGCTGAAGTGCGTCGGTCATGGCTGCAAAGATTTTTTTTTTTTTAATCTATCTCCTTTCCCGCTGATTTCCATGTAAAATACATACCTTTAATTCTGGAAGCAGATCATTTGTGCCTAATCTGCATTAAGAGCTAAAGAGTAAAACAAGATGCAGGAAGGTCTTCCGTGGCAGTGCGTTTAACTGCATGGGTTGCATGGAGGGACTGGACACGGGGCTGCCTGGCGGGTCCCTCCCCTACTGCAGACTACGGCAAGGCTGTTCACCCTCCCCTCCCTGGTGTTGAAATGACGGGGGTGGAGAGAAATGACGGGGGTGGAGCTGCAGACCCATTAGCTGTGTGCCCCAGCCGTCCCACCCGCTGTGAGAAGTTGTACTCAAGCCAGTTCGACTTGCCCGCAGGCCTCAGGAGCTGTGAGCCTGAGCCGGCTGTACTGCGCCCCAGGACTTGCTGGCCCCACCGTCTGTCTGCTGGCATGCTCTTCAAGTCCATGGAGCCTACCTTGAAGGGACCCTTAGGATGGGTTCCGCTGAGCCTGAGGATTTTACTGGTCATTTCTGTCCCAAGTAGACCGTGCCTGTCCATGTTCAACCCAGAGCCCTCGCAGTCGTTCCAAAATAGCCGTTCTGTACCCTTGCAGTTTGCATTGGTTTGTAGTGACCTTGAGGTGTGCCTTGTGACCTGCCCGTGGTTTGTGGGTGTGGTCCCTGATCAGCTTCATTCAGAGGCAACCCCAGTTTGGCGCTGCTTAACTTGGGCCCCAGAGTCCACCCCTCAGCCTGCACGAGCCCACACCACGGTCACCTGCACTGTTTAGAGGCAGCCGGACCTGGCGTGGGCCATGCGTCCTCGCTGCCCTGGGCCGGGGAGAGCAGTCAGGAGGTGTGTGGAGCCGATGCTGGAGCTCACACACTGGCCTTGGGCCAAGCAGAGGTGGGAAAAGAGCACGGGCACATGGTCAGTTCCACCCCTTGGAAGTGACCGTTGTGAGTGGTGAGGTGTGTCAGCACGTGAATATGAGTGGGATTTCACGGTTTTAAAACATGTTTTTTTTCCACCAACGTGTTAGAAAGATGTTCTCAATATGTTACTTGTCCTTGAAATCTTTCTTCTTTGAAACATAACCCTGGTAACGTTTCTGTCTCCGTACGTATCCTTATGCTCCCCGCCCCTGCCTTGGAGCAGGCAGTGCCCTGCTCAGCTGGCAGCCCATCTGCCCCTGCCCTCTTGGGCCTCGCTGTAGCTCAGGGGGCCATCTCTCTCCTCTTCAGGTGTCAGCGGAAGCAGTGGCGTGTAGACCTGCCGGCCACCAGCGTGGTGATCACGTTCCACAATGAGGCCAGGTCAGCCCTTCTGAGGACGGTGATCAGGTGAGCACGGCACGTGGTGCCCGTGGCCCGCCTGCTGCAGCTTACAGAGGTGTCCCCTGGCAGGGGTGCAGGACAGGGGCTGGGGGCCAGTACAGCCAGGCCAGGGCTGGCTCTAGGGGCACAGACAGCCATGTGACCCAGCAACATTAGGAGGGGCTGGTGGCTCTCCAGCCAAGGATTGGGGTGCAGGTATGAGAGTCCCCACCCCAAGTGGGGCTGCAGCCTTTATCTTTCTGTCTTTTCTCAGTGTGCTGAAGAAAAGCCCGCCCCACCTCATAAAAGAAATCATCTTGGTGGATGACTACAGTAACGACGGTAAGTGTGGGGACGACTCCACCCCCATGTCCACTCACCCTCCTGCCGCGGGCCCTCCTGTAGTGAAAAGGCCAGAAATCAGGGCCCTGGGAAGAGGTGCCTCTGTGGTGCGTGAGGAGATGCTCAGCCCACCAGGGATCAAGAGTCACTAGGCCTGCGTGCAAAGCCCTTTATAAATGTGAAGTTCAACGTGCTTCACCTCTGTTCTTTTCCTAGCTGAGGACGGGGCTCTCTTGGGGAAAATCGAGAAGGTCCGGGTCCTCAGGAATGATCGGCGAGAAGGTAAGACTCTTTACTTGATTCAATACCAAGGTAGTTGAATTCTGGCTTTTCCTGATCCCATAATGATGTAAAGAAATATCTCAGCTAAAAGAACAGTTAACGGTCCAGTCTTTTTGTCTGTCTCCTTCCACCGGAGCCTCTTGGGAGCCTCTCCCAGCAAAGCATAGGAAGCACATTCAAAGCTTAACTAATTGAAATCGTTTGTCTACTTGGGCAGAGTCCAAATGACACTTTTTTTCTTACGTATTTAGAAAATTGGTTTCTCTCTTTCTTCCACGACCTACTAAGCCTTATCATAGTCCCTTGAGTACTAGACTTCAGAAATAAAACAGAGATTTAGCAATGAGAAGTTTAATGACTTCATGCTCCAGGCATCTGATAAAATAACTGGGATTCAAGTTTGACAGCCTGCTGAAGGTGAACCCCAAAGAAAAGGAGCTAGCACCCCAAAATTATGTGCTTCTTGGATGGGTGAGTGCCAGCCTCAGAACCAACCGTCCATGTTGTCTTGCTGGAGTTGTTCTCACCGAGTCCACTTCATTGTCAGTTACAAGAGAGACTCCAAAGGAGGAAGGTATTACATAAAATGTCTGCAAAAGAAACTAAAGCCACTATGTAATTTACATCCAGCCCATCAGTGCCATTGCAGGGCTTGGTGGCTAAATTGGAGGTTCCTCCATAATCCGGAAAAAATCTCAGTCTAGGAAAATCGCAGAGTTTTCAAACGTGCCATTTTTGCCTTGCAAGGACCAGTGTGCATCCTGGGGCTGCGGTTGTGTTCTCTGGTCGGTGTATACTTCTGGTTTCCAGTGCAGCCCAGCCGGAGGCAAGGAATGCGGTTTTTCTTAGTGAGAATCTGATCAGCCAGTGAGGTGATGGAGCCCGTCAGGGCGATGTCACCAGCATCGCGTTTCAACCAAATAAGGTGGTCCATCCAGACGTTCAAGGAACATTCATAGTGGGGTCGGCCTGGCCCCGAAGCAGGCCATTTGCCAGGCTCATCTGCCCCCCACACTTCGAATAAAACAGAATCTTGAGAGCAAATAAAAATCTTGCATTGTATTTGCCCCCCCAAAACACTGCATAATAACTTTCTGAACTTAAACGCATGCATCTACTGGCACAGAAAAAAAAAAGGAGGAAAAAGTTAACTTTCACTGTTGGCATTTTTAACTGACAAATCAGTTGCCAGCCTTATCAGAGAGTGTGTTCAACCTGCTCAGAAATCAAAACAATGTTCTAGATGTAAACTTTCCATTTCCCTTCAGGTAGGCCGTCCACACTGACGCTTTGTTTTGGGAAGGGAGGGGGAGCGGCAGTTGTGGAAAGCCAGATTTTGCTTGGCCTGTACGAATGAATGAGATGTGTGATAGTTAAGTGGGAAATTACACACAGAAATGTGTGTGTATACGGTGCGTGTGTGCATGTGTGTGTATATCCCGTACATAGAAACATACACACAATGGCTTATATCAGCGCCATTAGATGATAGAAAATCCATTGCATGAACTATTCTGGTAGTGAAGAAATGGCCTCAGGTTCGTGTAGTGCCAGGATTTTATTCTGTCAGTGATTCTTCATCTGCCTGTTGATTGGAATTAGCTGAGAGACTTAAAGGATGACTGTGCCTTGACCCTGCCCACAACTGAATAAAAATTCCTGGATTTCTAGGGCTAAGGCCTGGGCATCTGAATTTTTAAGAGCTGCTTGGATAATGCCAGTGTACTTTGAAAGTTGAAAACCTAGTTCCTCCCTCTCATTTTACAGATGGGAATATTACAGCCCAAAGAGGCTAAGTGGCCTTCTCACAGCCACACAACTGCCCACTGATAATTGCAGGGCCAGGACCACATTGGACATCTTGAGTTCTCTGTCCCATGCGCTTTTTATTCCTCTTCCCACTGTCCTGACTACTTTGAGATTGATTTCTTCCCAGTTTTACTGAGAGATAATTGACCTATAACATTGTATTTATTTAAGGGGTACAACATAATGATTTGATTTATGTGTATATTGTGAAATCACCACAGTTAGTTAACATCCATCAAATAGTTGTAACCTTTTTTCTGGTGATGAGAACTTTTAAGATCCGCTCTCTTAGTAACTTTGAGATATACAGTACTGCGATATTAGTAACCTAGTCACCCTGCTGCAGATGGCGTCCCAGGACCGACTTGCCTTGTGACTGGAAGTCTGCCCCTTCTGACCCCCTTCCTCCAGCTCCCCCTCCCTTCCCACCCCTGCCCCTGACAACCACCAGTCTCTTCTGTCTCTGAGTTCAATTAGTTTTAGATCCACACATGAGGGAGGTCACACAGCATTTGTCTTTCTCTGACTTATTTTGCTTGGCATAACACCCTCAAAGTGCATCCATGTTGTCGTGAGGGGCAGGATTTCTTTCTTCTCCTATGGCTGAAGAGTATTCCTCTGTGTGCGTGTGTGTGCATTTTAATCACATCCTTATCCATTCATCCGTCGAACTTAGATTGTTCCCTGTTTTGGCTCTTATAAATAGTGCTGCAAATCACATGGTATTCCTCGTTATAATTTTTTGAGGGACCTCCACACTGCTTTCCTTTGTGGCTGCACCAGTTTATATTCCCAACCAAGGGCTCCCTTTGGTCCGCTTCTCACCAGCACTTGTTCTTATTTCTTGTCCTTTTGATACTAGTCTTTCTGACTGGTGTGAGGTGGTGTCTTTGGTTTTGATGTGCATTTCCCTGATGATTAGCGATGTGGAGCATCTTTTCACCTACCTCCTGTCCATCTGTGTGTCTTCTTTGAGAAAATGTCTATTCAGTTCCTCTGCCCGTTTCTTAATCAGATTGCATTTTTGCTGTTGTGTTGTAGCAGCTCTTTATATGTTTTGGGTACTAACGCCTTCTCAGTCACATGATCTGCAAATATCTTCTTCCATTCCACAGACTGCCCTTTCATTCTGTGGATGGCGTCCTTTGCTGTGCGGAAGCTTGTTAGTTAGATGTTCAGTTCTGCTTCTGTTGCCTTGGTTTTTGGTGTCAAATTCAAAAATTCATTTTTGAGATACATGTCAAGGAGCTTACCACCTGTGTTTTCTTCCAGGAGTTTTATGGTTTCAGGTCTTACCTTCAAGTCCTTATAATCTGTTTTGAGTTGATTTTTCTGGATGGTGTGAGATAGAGGCCCATTTCATTCTTTTGCACATGGCTGTCCCGTTTTCCCACACCATTTATTGAAGAGACTGTCCTTTCCCATAGGTCTCTTGAGGCCTTTTTTCTCTCTCTCAGTATCTTCTCTCTCTGTTCAACAGACAGATCAATTTCTGTTGACCCATCTGGAAGTTCACTGGCCGTTCTGCCATCTCCAATCTGCAGTTAAGCCTGGCCAGTGAGTTCTCCACTTCAGATAGTTGCCGTTTTCATTTCTGGAGTGTCCATTTGATTCTTTCCTGTAGATTTCTTTCTCTGTGGAGAGAGCCCATCTGCTCACCCAGTCCAGCCACCATTTCCTCTGAGTCCTTGGCTGTTGTAACAGCTGCTCTGCCATCCTCTGTTCCTTCCAAGCTCTGGGTCATCGCAGCGTGAGTTTTTATTGACTTTTTTTTCTCTTGGGTGTAGATCACATATTCCTATTTCTTCCAATGTCTAGTAATTTTTATTTTACATTAGACATTGTGAAGGTTATAGAGACACTGAATTCTTTTATCTTTCTCTAGAGTGTTGATCTTTTTTGGGCAGTTAAATTACTGGCTGATGGCCTTGAACTCGGGTGGGCTGGTCTTTGTACTTTGCTAGGATGTTTACATCAGGGGGACCCCTTGTTCCTGAGACATTGTCTGTGTTCCTAAATGCATTCTTGCTGGAGTTCTTGCAGAACTCAGGTGTTTACGAAGCGCTTCTAACCTGAGAGGACTCGGTGCAAAACTTAGTGTCACCTGCAGGGGGGAACAGCTGAAGTCTCTGCTCTTTCTGCCGTTTAATTGTTTCTCTTCACATGCTCCCTGGGGTCTCCCCTGTGCCTGCGGGTTCAGGAGCCAGCCAGGGATCTACCAGCTAATTGGAGGTTGTCACACAGTTTGGGGCTTACTCTTTCCCAGGACCTCCTCCTCCAGGTTCCAGCCACTCGAGAAACCTCGAGGCCTGTCCTCTGACCCCTCAAGCCAAACGGGCTGTGCTGCTGTGAACTAAAGAGTCCTCCCTGGGGGAACACCAAGTAAACACGGGGCGGCTCCCTGTGACCTTCTTTGACGGGTTGAATCCCCTCTGGTTTCTGCTTGCTTGTGGCTACTCTCCAGCCCTTCCTAAGAGTTGCTTTTTCCATCTTGCTTGGAGTGTATAATTGTTCTCTGTGTAAGGATTTGCCCAATACAAGCTACTGTGTAATACAAGAATTAGAAATCATTTGTCTTTTTTCCCTATGTTGAAATCATTGAAAACCTATTTTGATCTATTGTGTATAAAGAAACCTGAAAGCACTTGTCCTCACTGGCTGTGCAGTGTGCATCACAGCAGCGTCACATACAGCCACCTCCCTCGTCCTTGCACATGTGTTCTAAGATCCCCGTGGATTCCTGAAACTATAGATAGTGCCAAGCCCTATTTTTTATATGTATGTAAAAGCCTGTACATACATACCTATGATAAAGCTTAGATTCAGCACAGAAAAGGTTAACAACAAGAACTAATAACCAAGTAGGACAATTACAACAATCTACTGTTAAAAATGTGATGTGGGTGTGGTCTTTCTCTCAAAATGTGTTCCTACCCATCACTCACCCTTCTTGTGATAACGTGGGATATAAAATGCCCTCGTGACGTGGTGAAGCAAGGGGAGTGGTGTGGGCCTTGTGCCATGGCACTGGGCCACACTGACCTTCTGACCATGTCAAAAGGAGGGTTGTCCACTTCCTTACCATGGTGGACACGCATAGACAGCAAAACCCTTTTCTGACCACATCATCTAGTGATATACTATTTATGATAAGACTGTGTGATGATAAAAAAGTATATTATTAACAGATCACAAGTATATAAATAGTGTGATTTGACCAATAGTGCCATTTTGTGTAAAAGCCAAACAGCTGGACTTTGTCCCGTATGTTATTTGACTTGTAATAAGTCTTAGAAAGCAAAGAGAGTTGCAACACAGTTACCATTGAATCATTGCCATTAAATTTGGCACCATTAGCACTCGGGAGTGTCCGGGTGACACCTTCCTTAGCTCAGTTAATTAGAAAACTCTGTTGCACTGTCAGAGGACAGTAATCTTAAAAGTTCCACATGTCACTTGCTTGACAAAGGAGACTTCAGTTACGTAAAGGCCTCTCTCAGAAGCCAGCGGTTCTAAGAGAGTTGTCTGCCCTGTCGTCCAGTCAACGTGAACAGAAAGTCTGGACAAAACTCCATCTCGGGAAACACAGGGCAGTACTGACTGCCCCACGCATGTCTGCACTGGACTGTTGCCAGCAGGAGCCCTGCAGAGCTCTGAGCATTTTGCTGACCCAGTGCCGGGTGTGCTGCTCTTACTGCCTTTTTCTCAGATGCCCTGATGAGCTTCTGAACTTGCTTCCGCAGGCCTGATGCGCTCCCGGGTCCGGGGAGCCGACGCGGCCCAGGCCAAGGTCCTGACGTTCCTGGACAGCCACTGCGAGTGCAATGAGCGCTGGCTGGAGCCCCTCCTGGAGAGGGTGGCTGAGGTGAGGCCCCAGCCGGCACTCCGGTTTCCCTGGGGGCTGCCAAGGGGGAAAGGTGCCTCTGGGACATCTGTTCAGAGTATTTGATTCTCTGCAGGAGTCTATCAATAGGGGAAAAAGTTACTTCCCAGGTAGGAGGCAAGGATCAGCAAAGGCCGACAGAAATCGGATCGGTTCGATCTTTAGGAGGCTCTTCCTCCCTTACCTGCAGCTTTCCCCCCAACTCTGAGCTCAGGGGACAAAGTGCAGAGAACGGAGTCTGGCATCCCACAAGTACAGTCAGAGCATCTGCCGGGGTTGGGACTGGTGGAGGGGTGGGGGTGTACAGAGGCTGGGGAGGGGGGCTGCCTGCTGCCTCAGCATGCTGCTCCTCCCACCCGGGTACTCTTCTGGCCCTGCTGCCCCCACCACGGTGCTGGCTGTGAGGCCCCTGTGCCAGCGTGAGGGGCTGGGGGCACCTGTGCCTATGCAGTGGTGGGTTGAGGCCATCGGGACGATGTGCAGCTCACTTTGTGCACCTTTCCTTCTAGAATCATCGTCACTGCTCTTACACTTGGCCTTTTGTCATTTCTCTTGCCCTTTACCTGTTCTGTTGACTTGCTTTCTTCCCTATTAAAAAAGTGCTTCCTTGGGGCAATAAAGCAGATTTAATGAAAGTACTGGAGAAATGTAAAATGAGCAAATCATTCTTTCTCAGCATAGCAGGGATAGCTGATGGGCAGTAAGCCATGCAACAGTGAACAACCGCCAGCCACCTGCGATTATGATGATGTCATTCCCTACTGTTTACTGAGTCCTGACTACACGCAGACCCTCTGTGTATCCCCTACAATTCAGTATTGACCCCATTTGGCAGATGAGGAAACTGGGGTTCAGGGAACTTTAATAACTTACCCAGAAGTCATACGGGTGACAGAGCCAGTTGCAAAACAGGCCTCACGGCATCCTAAAGGAGCCCTCTCTCTTATGAGCACACACCTGGAACCCCTCCTGAACTGCCCCCCCCTACATCAGCTTCTCATTCCACCACACCGTGCCCAGGGTCGCGGGGCAGCATGGAGGCCACCACCAGGGCATCAGAGTGCGTGGGGGCTGCATGCTTCTGTGGTGGGCTGTCAGGATCACTTCAAACACCCCCTGCTAAATTAAAGTACAAAGAGCTGAGACTCGTAATTAATCCAGTCCTATCAAAAGAAATCACGAGGAAAATGAGCGTAGCCATCACAAAGTGTGCCCTTTAAGCCCTGTGCCCAGGCAAGCGGAGCCAGGCCAGGCGGATCCCACTCCCTGATCGCAGGGCCCACCCTGGAAGCGGACAGAAGGAGGGCACTAGGATTCCCAGCATTCTCAGGGCGGGCCTTTGATGCGTTAGGTTCTCAGCTAGTTGGGTGGGTGCACTGGCTTGTCCTTCCACAGTCTGTCCTCTGGCAGAGTTTGCCTTCTGAGCTCTCTGAATGGGTCGAGCAGGGCACTTGCTCTTTCATTAGCTACCTGTCCTGGACAGTGTCTGACCAGATCAACCATCCGAACTTAAAGAGGGCAGGAAAGTCAAAAAGCCTTATGTTCACAAACCTTTAACAGCACAACAGCCATGTGGCATAAAGAAATGCCTCAGTCCAAGGGGAAATAGGGTTTTGTTTGGCAGAATCACGGGCTAGACCAACTTAGACCTGGAGCTCTCCGGTTACTGGGTGTACCTTCTCTGACGGTACTGATAACCCCGCCTTACACACCTCATGTGCCCAGGGGGCACTGATGCTGTTGTGCAGGCATCTCAGCCCCGAGTCTGTTCTGAGGCTCGCGACGGCTCACGGCCACTGACACTGAAGGTAGCTGAGCTTAGGGTCTGTCAGCGTGAACGTGGCCCCATGGGTGAAGTCTGACATCTGGGCAGACAGAAGAGACCCTGGGGCTGGGACACTGGCACTGTCTCTGCCCTCAGCCAGGGATCCAGGGCCAGGAGTGCCCCTCAGGGGTGACGCCCTCCGCCCTCATGCTCATGCCCTCCCTCCCATGTGGCTTTCTGCATGGTGGCTGAGAGCAGGCCCTCCGGATGGCAGGGCTGGGGCCCGTGGCATAGAGGGGAGGGCGGCTGGTTTCACCGTTAATGCCTCCTGTTTGTGGGATGGGGTCCTTTGTTTTTGTTTTTGTTTTTTTGATGCCCACTCCTGTCCTTTCTGTCCGTATCTCAGGACAGGACTCGTGTTGTGTCACCCATCATCGACGTCATCAACATGGACAACTTCCAGTATGTGGGGGCGTCTGCTGACCTAAAAGGCGGTAGGTGCCGCTGCTGTCCGCCCCCCGCCCGGGCGTCCGGTCACCGCCTCCCTGCAGGATCCAGGGACGCGGTACACATGTGAGCCGAGAGCGTCTCTGCGCTCTGCTAGTGCAATCTCAGAGGAAAGGCCCGGCTGCCCTGAAAGAGTCCCCTGTTTCCATTCTTCCCTCCTGACCTTCTGTCGCTGTCATGTCACATATGGCTTAGTGCACAGCTAGTAATCGAGAAGATCACGTCTTCCCAGCCAGCGGTCTGGGGTGAGGACGCTCCAGAGCAGACGGGCAGCGCAGGGCGCGGAGCTGGGGTCCGTGGAGGCAGGGGCTGTTCCGCCTCGGCTCCTCCCTCATTGGTTCCCCTGGGAGCCTGCGTCTCGGGTGGCCAGCCCATGCCCCCAGCCACACACGGGGCCTGGGTTGCCCCTGCCTCCCGCTCACCCCCAAGCCCTGCTGATTCTAGCCCCCCACATAGCTGGGTTGCTGTCTCTCCTCTGCATCCCACCAACCCCTGCGTCACTTTACCTTTTCAAGAATCATCAAGGGCCCAAGGGACTTCTGCTCACGTGCCATTTTAGAACCTCAAGAAAAGAAACTGTCCAGCACATGTTCTGTTGTCCACCGGTGCTGACGTCCAATGTCTTCGGCTTCTGGAGAAGCCCCCCTCATGCACTTCTGAAAGAATGAGAGTGAAAGAGGCATGTACGGTCTTAGTATAAATACAAAAATAGTTTTGGCATCACGGATGCCCTGAAGGGCCTGCGGACCCCGGGGCTCCTGTGGCCTCCGGGACCCCTGTCTGCAGAAGTGCTTCCGGATGCTGATGGATGTGCAGGAGTCACACCCGCTCACACGAAGGAACCGGGCATGAGATGTCCGGCTCCTACCGGCTGACCTGTGTCCACAGGACTGGGGGGCAGTGCCCCGTGCTCCACAGGGCTCTGCTGCAGCCCAGTGATAAAGGCTCTGCGCTCTACCACTCAGCCGGTGCCACTGCGCCTCTCGGGACTTGGCTGAGCGCCAGGAAGTCAGCAGAGACCGACCGCTCCAGGCGGCCACGGGATGTCACAGCCTTCGCATTCTGTTGTGTGATTTATTCACCGTGGATTCTTTACTCCTCAGATGAGCAGGTTCTTTTCAGCTGTCCAGCTCCCTACCCGCTTCCTTTCCTGCCTCCTAATGCCTTGACCTGATTAGAAGATGGACTGTTGCAGACAGACACACAGACAGAGGGTCAATGACAGTCTGACATAAAAAAAAAACAAAAAACAGCTGAACTATAAAATTGGGTGCAGGCTCAGAAAACCGTGCTGGGACAGTTAGAAGACTCGGGCCTTGGGTGCCTCCCGCCTCCTTCTGGCCCTGTCACCACTGTGGAGGCCCCCCTCGCTGCTCAGGGACCTCATCTGAGAAACGGGTCGATGAGAGCGCCAGCCCCATGGGGGAGAATAGCCAGCATCCCTCCCATTCCAAGCAAAATGTCAGTCATGCCGACTCCATATGTACTTAACGTCGGTAAACATAAAATTCAGGAAAGATTTTTAACACAAAGTGAGAAGGTTTGGGGCTTTAAAGAAAAGAGACCCTTAGCCATCATGAAAGGGTTCTGTTCAGAATGTCTAAGATCTGGTGGGCTCTGGCCCACAGGAGCTGTGTACGTCAGAGCAGATACACAGATACCCAGGCAAGGCACCCTGTCGTGGGGTGCAGGCCTCCTGCCAGATCAGAAGAATGGAGTCCGGGTGCCCTCTAAGAGCATTTATGAAATCCCTTCAGGAAAAAAAGTGAGGGCTAACATCTGAGCAGATTCTTAAAATCCAATATAGCTCATCTCTTTGGACCCAGGCAACAGCGTGCTGGCTGGCTGGCCAGTCAAGGCCCTTGCCCTCTCTGTTAATAGCACAGCCAGGCCGTCTGCTGTTTTTCTGGTTGGCCTTGGGTGTGTTTGAGGCCATTCTGTGCCTGGGGGCAGCTGGGCTTTTCAGGATAGCCAGCAGTTTCCTCGCTGTCCATCACCGGCCCCCCACCTGGCACCGCAGCCACCTTCCCATCTTTGCTGGCCTGCCCTGCTGTGCAGTGACAGCCTGGGGGGGGCCTTTGGTCACATGCCCCGGTTGAGTCCTGAAGTGTGCAGTGCTGGCCCGGGAGCTCCTGCGCCCACACCTGCCATCCTGCCCTGCTCACACCACAGAGCAGGGCTGTCAGCAGACAGACCCTGGCCTTGGAGTATGCAGACGGGAAGTCGGAACTTGCACAGGCCCTGCTGGCAGAAAGCCAGACAGGGGAGGGCTCGTCGGGCACAGAGGCAAGGGATGGGTGGCCTGGAGCGGTCAGGTCTGGCTGCGGTAGGTGACCGGGCTTGCCCATGCAGTGTGATGGGCCAAGTGCCGCCAGGAAGGGTCTCCTCCTGTGCCTGGAGAGCGTCGGCCGGCGGGGTGTACAGGCACCAGGTGGCTCCGTGCAGGGTGCCTTCCGAATGAGGGTGAGACCTGGCAGCTGTGGGCTGGGCCTGTACATCCCAGGTACCAGGCCCAGCCTCTGCCATGCTGAGCGGCCTGGGGATTCTGAAGGCTGATTGGGACGGGTGCCATCTTTACCAGACGTTGAGCTGGTTGTGCCCACTGGCTACTTCACCTAAGTTTCCCCCCATCCCACGTTGCAATCACAAAGCATCGAGGGGAAGTTCGCAGGCCCAGGAGCCCACAGTCCTGTGCCCCGCCTGTGTTCCGCTGCCCTGGGACAGCTCGGAGGTGCTGTGGCAGGTGCCTATGCCCACCGGTCTTCTTGCCCCTTGCAGCCCCAGGATCATCACCCAGACCTCAGTTCTCTTCTTGTTTCACATTTATGATCCACAAGTTAATTTTAGAAAGCCTGGCCCACATCTTCCCGATCGGGGTAGCTTTCCGAGGGAAGGAGGGCCCGTGTGCACACCCCGCTCTCTTCCCACCCAGTCTCCTTTCGGAGTCCCGGTTTTGAATTGGTTTTGCTTTTGGCAAATCCAACCCAAATATCAGATGCTTTTAAGCTGGGAGGGCCAGGAGCAGCCTGACTTTCTTTTCTTTTCCTGTGGCTGGCAGGTTTTGACTGGAACTTGGTGTTCAAATGGGATTACATGACACCCGAGCAGAGAAGATCTAGGCAAGGGAACCCGGTCGCCCCCATAAAGTAAGTGCCAGGCATCCTCTGAGGGTCCCCTTGCCCAGGGACCTCGTCCTGCCCTTCACCTCCCACCCACCCTCACTGCATCCCTTAGTCTCAGCTCAAGGCAAGCATCTGCCCTCCGATCCCAAAACAAAGCACTTTGAGATTTCTTTTCCTCCAGTGAAGTCGAACACGCGTAGAAAGGCAGCTAGATCTGCCGGGTCCTGTCCACACGGCAGAACGCTGCCCACAGCGTTGGGGGGGGTGGTCTCCACGCAGACCTTCAGGGACAGGGAAGAGGTGTGTGTGTGTGTGTCAGGGACAGGGAAGGAGTGTGTGTGTGTGTGTGTGTGTGTGTCAGGGACAGGGAAGGGGTGTGTGTGTGTGTGTGTGTGTGTGTGTGTGTGTGTGTGTGTGTGTCAGTCAGGGACAGGGAAGGGGTGTGTGTGTGTGAGTGAGTGAGCTGCCGGGTCCTGTTCACATGGCAGAGCGCTGCCCACAGTGATGGGTGGGGGTCTCCACGCGGACCTCAGGGACAGGGAAGGCGGGTGTGTGTGTGTGTGTGTGTGTGCGCGCGTGCATGCATGCGCGTCCCCTCGGCTCGGCCCTTCCTCAGCTGCGCTCTGCCACCTGTTTGCCTGCAGCAGGGGCAACTGGTCTTCATTACCTCTGGCCTTGAAATCCCCAACCAGGCCGTGTGGAGGAGCAGAGGCTGGGAGGGAGGAGCCGCCTGTGCCGGCGAGTGTGGGATGCCCACGGTCGGCAGGACCTCCGGACCCCCGGCACCGGGACGCCCAGTTCCCAGCATCTCTCCCTGGAAGGGAACAGGGTCAGCTGTCAGCCCCCTCCAGGCCGATGCAGGAACAACAGGGGTGCCAGGCCCATAGGGCAGAGGAGGAAACTGCTCCGTGGTGATGACAGGGGTCAGGGGAGACGCGTCACTGCGCATTTCTGTGTGCTCAGAGCTTTTCTTCATAACCCTCTAGGGAAACGGACGTGGAAGGGCCAAGCGCTCACCTAGGGCCACTTGTCAGGGAGTGTTCTCAGCCCCAGTGGTTCCCCTCTCACCCGGAGGACCCAGCCTAGCCCCTCGCCCTGTAGCAGCACCTGAGCCAGGCTGAGGGGGAGGCGTTTGTGGACGGCAGTGGTATAGCAGAGAGATGGGCACCTGGCGTTCGGAGCAGAAGACCGTGGCTGTGCCCTGTTGCTGAGGCCAGCCTGTAGGCCTGACCTCGGCATCAGAGTGCTGGCAATCCAGCCTTGACCTTTAACCTCTCCCTCTCTTCCCTTGCACATCTCTGCCTGTCTAGAACGCCGATGATTGCTGGAGGGCTGTTCGTGATGGACAAGCTCTACTTTGAAGAGCTGGGGAAATACGACATGATGATGGACGTGTGGGGAGGCGAGAACCTGGGTACGTATGAGCCTCGCGCCATCCACACCGGCCGGTTTCCCCACCTAGAGACCCCACGGTGTCTTCCACACAACAAGTAAAAAAAAAAAAAAACGGAAGCTTTGAAGAGACTGTTTGGCTAGAGTCTGTGGTATGCAGGATGCCGGTTGGAAGGACTTACAGACATTAGTGACCCCCCCCCACTGTATATCATCGGTCCCACAGAGGATAACCATGTGGATGACTCTTCTGTCTTGGATGGGCATTAAGACCTGTGGCTCTAAGAGTTCAGGATGCTAGAATACAAAGACTTTGAAGGAAAATGCAAACGCTTCAATGCCATTGGAACCTGAGGGTTTGGAAAGCAGGCTTACAAAAAATGGGGCAAGATTTCCGCCCCTAGGACTCACTGTTAGCCATATGGAGTGCAGGATGCATCCTAGCCGGGGTTGTGGCTGACAGGAGCGTGCTCACAGCAGCCAGTGCGGGGAGAGGCCTTGGCATTCAGTCGCTGCTTGACTATCTTGTGAATGGCTGATGTTTTGGTTTTTTTCAATAATCCATGCAAATCATTTTACCCAGGTCTACAGACAATGAAACTTTCTAGACTTTGGTCTGTATTGGTAGCTACATCACATTTACTGCATAAAGATAAAAGGACTCCCCTTGAGGTGTTTTATTTTGTTTGCTTCCAGTTTTTGTTGCACTTGAAGCCTCTCACTTCCAGCGCCTGGGTTCTGAGTGAGATTCTCCTCTGCCTCGGCAGTAAAGCCACATTCGCCCTTGGGCAGGCACGCCCTGTGAGGTGGGGGCACTGCCTCTGGTACCGGTGTAGTTGACAGAGACTTTGGTACTTTTTGTTAGTTTAAAAGAAAAGACTGGCCTATTATTTTTCTCTCCTTTTAGGCTGTTAAAGTTGGTAATAACCTCTTTTCCATGGATCACTTGTCTGCCTCGGTTTGACGAGAGCTTCCTTAGACTCCGTAACTGTGCTGAGGTCGAGGAACAGGAGTCCGACTCCGTTTGGTTATTTCTTTTTTAAGAACACACTGACAGGTAGGCAGGACTTGGGCTGAAGAAAGCATAAAAGGCCCCAGAATTGCTAACCCTTCCAAAGAGAATTCTGAGTCACCCTTGCCCCACAGCACCCCTGGTGGCTTCGGGGGGACCCGGCCACCCAGGAGCAGCCAGTAAGCCAGTGATGGCTCAGGTGCCCGTGTCTGGCAAACGGCATCTTCAGGACCATGTGCTGTCAGCCTGAAGTGTGGATTAAGGGCAGGGCAGCAGTCAGGTTCCAGCCAGCATTGATTTAAATATCAAAGGGGTCTTTTTGCCCAGGGACCAGAGGGAAGGAAGAGAACTGTTTTAATTACCTGGTTTGTTGTCAGCTTAGTTTTGTATTCATACAGCTGTGCCAAGGTAAGGATCCTGTGAAGGGTTTAAGGGAGAAGGGAGTGGGAGGAGGGACCGGGAGGAGCACAGCCTGCCTGGGCAAGTGGGGGGGCCCTTGTCCAGCTCTACCCGGCTCCTCAGGCAGCCTCCCCCCTCCCCAGGGGTCCAGCAGGGAAAGTCCCCAGGGCGTCTTTCTCCTGGGCCCCGCACCCACTCTGGGGTGCTGTGTGCACACCACCAGCAGCTGGCCCACCCGAGTGGCATGAGTGTGCGGAGAGGTGTGCGGGGATGCCTGAGCACACTTGGGAACAGCCCCTGCAGGGAGCCCCCGAGCCACTGGGGCTTCCAGTCTTCCCAGCCTACAATAGCAGTCAAATCTAACGATGACACAGCACAAGGCACCTGGTCACTAGCCCCTGTGAGACGTAGGGGTCACGTCCCTCAAGATCGCTATTTGTGCCCTGGGGCTTGTCCTCACCCTACTAGGGTGGGCGCCAGATGCTCCAGGATGGGTGCCAGATGCTCCCAGGGCATCCGCTCATCCCGGCCTTTCTGGAAGGACTGAGGTGCCACCTGAGGTCTCAGAGCTGGTGCTCCAAGACGCAAACACAAACTGCCTCATTAAAAAGCCACCGAGTCATCTTGAGAAATCACCCCCAAGTTGTAGGGCTCCAGCAAGATCAGAGTCAAATGTAACTAGTCGTACTTGGCCTTAAGTCTCCCACTGAATCTCTGAATGGATCCCTTGCTGGTTTATCAGACTCCCCTCCCAGAAGCCAGGGGCCCTTGCTAGGCCTCGATTTCCAGTTTTCCAGCTAGGCAAATGTATGTTTAAATTTTGTATCCTGGAACACGGAGAACTTCTTACTCAAGGTGTTGTTGGATGTCATAATCAGGGAAGTCGGAAGCCTTCCAGGGCACAGGCCATGTGGCCTCACTGCACCTGTGCACTCCCGGGAACGGTTCTCAGAGCCCCCTAATGCTGCGTGGGCCACTTGTTCCTGGCCAGTGAGGCCTTCCCATTATGGCAGTTTGTGGATCTGAGTTCTGGAAGCCCTGCTCGTCTGCCCCCAATGGGTGCCTTGTTGGCTCTGCAGTCTGGGCACCTGCTTCATGGAAGACCTTGTCTCCTGGCCTGAGAACTTTGCAGCGGCTCAGGTCCTATCTGCAGTCATCTGCCCTATGTCCGATCAATCTGCTTTGGCAGCCGTTACCACCAGCTCAGGAGGTTGTGTTACCTCCCCAGCACGTCTCAGGAACGCGCGATGATGGAGAGGAAATGCCCTTTTATATACGCCTCGTGGCATCTTCAAGAAAACAAGTTTGGCCTTTTGCATTTTTGATTTTTCAAAACTACCTTTCAGATCATCTTCATTTTTCTGTTTTAACACTGGTTTCTTGCATTCAGTCAGAGCTCTGATCAGCCTGCAGTCACTCAGAGGGCAGTGGTCAGGCCAGGTGCCTGCTCAGGTGCTGCTGTGTGACCCAGAAGTCCATGCGTCACACATCTCCCACGACAGCAGCTCAGGGCAGGGTGTGTGCCAGCTGGCATGGGCTGTGCCTACACGGTGCGCCCTGCAGGCAGGTTCTGTGTTGAAGCTGCGAAGAGCAGCAGCCTCCACACAGCCAACCACTTCCTGACTGGTAACAGTCCAGGAGAAGCTCTGAGGGTCTGTCAGTTACTCCGGCGTCCTTGGTCTCTGCCATAATCCAGAAGGTGCCTGTGCACTTCACCAGGTAGCACAAATCTGCTAATGCGCAGGGACAAACATCATTTTTGCAGTTGAAGAGAAGAGGTTTTTTTCAACCCTGGATGGAAAAAAAATAAGTGTACGGTGATGCTGAGTGCATTTGAAATAAACTTTGGAGGAAGGTGTCTTACGCAGCTGCCTGTTACACCTAATTGTGGGCATTTCATGCCTTTGGACTCTTGGGTGTTTATGCACCTCCGGTGTTGCCTTTCTGTCAGTGCTGGTACTAAGCAAGTGCAAATGTAACACTCCGTGGCCGCGATGTGGCTGGCGAGGAATCGGTGAGCACGCGGGGATGCGCTGGTCCGATGCCAGGAGTCCTGAGCGCTCAGAGTAGCCAAAGAACCACTCCTGTCTCAGGGTTTCTAGTCTGAATCTGAAAAATGTGTCCACGTGCTCTTTCTTTTTAATCTGGAATAGAATTCTGTAATGAACACATGGGACTTGGTGAAACAGATCTAGTCGGCGTCCACGCTAAAAATGTCAGCCAGTAAATGTCCCAGTGGGGTCGTTTGTTTTGCACGAATCAGCCTTTTCCCTGAACATTCTCACTTTGTGTTGTCTGTGTGGACACCCCGCAGTGAAGTGAAGTATGCGCCTTTGACCGGTCTTTCCCCTCTCCAGCAGTATTGAGGGGTAACTGACCATTCTAGATCAAGTACATCGAGGGGTGCGGCTCGATGGCTCGGCATGGGCAAGGGCGTGCCTGGCGCCGGAGTCCCTGCCGTGCCCGGGTGGCCAGTGTCGGAGGGCCCGCTCTGGAGGAGGCGGGGGCCCTGCCTGAGTCCCCCCACCGCCGAGGGCACCAGAGCCCTGGGACGGGCCCAGTGAGGGGCGGGTGCTGTGCCCGCCAGGTGGCTCCGTGGGTCACGCTGTCTGCTCGTCGCCGCAGAGATCTCGTTCCGCGTGTGGCAGTGCGGCGGCAGCCTGGAGATCGTCCCCTGCAGCCGCGTGGGACACGTGTTCCGGAAGCAGCACCCCTACACGTTCCCGGGGGGCAGCGGCACGGTCTTCGCCCGGTAAGTGGTCCAGAGGCCGCGCAGGGGCGGGAGCAAGGCTGTGGGGGCACAGACGCGCTCCGGGGAGCTTGGCGGTGACGAGGTGCAGCTGCTGGCCCAGCAGCGTGGGGGCCTCTCCGGGCCGCATGCTGTGCGGCTCCGCCGACCCGACCCGACAGTCCCACCAAAACTTGACTGTCATAACGGAGGAGAGCCCGTGGGGCTGGGGCCGGGCTGGGAGGTGGGAGGGGAGTGCAGAGGGTTAGCCAGCGGCCTTGGGGTGATGGGGCCTCTGGATCCCGGCAGTGCGGCGAGAGTCGTGCCCACCTGTGCGTGTGTGCCAGCCCCTTGGCCACGCCCCACGCCCCCAGAATGGCGTTACAAGCAGGTATTAGTTTAAAGCAAAGGAACTTACATTTTTTATTACATATCACTATTCAAGGCACATATATGAACAATATTCAAGTCAAGCCATATTAAATTCAAGCCCAAAAGACATTACAATAGGTATGATTTGTGATAGACAAGGGATATATTTTTGCAAATATGAAGATGCCAGTGAAGAGCTTTCTTAGGAAGAACAGCAAATCACCAGCCCGCAGGACCACAGTTCTTCCCAGGGGACTCTCCGATGCTGGAAGTGAAGCAGTGTGCAAGCCAGGCAGCCTGGCCTCGGGAAGGGGGTGGTCAGCCCGGCACAAGCATGGCTCCATAAGAGCAGTGCCAACGCTAACAATGCTGTGGGGAAGATAAAATGTGGTCTTACAGCCGCAGGGACCGGCGGAGGAGCTGGTGGCATGCACAAGGAGGGGCTCTCTGAGGAGGGGGCGCTTGCTGGAGACCTGAATGGTGGGAAGGAGATGCCATGGGACCCCTGGGGAGGAATGGGTCCTCGGCACTGCCACACGGGGTTTTGGAACAGGAAGGCGCCTGGTATGACTGAAGCCTAGAGAGTGAGTAGACAGTAGGCAGCGCGGGAAGCCAGCCCAGCCCCATCTTGCACCTGTGTGTCCTGGGAAGCTCTGGGTGGTGTTTGGATGCCAAAGGAAGCTCTAGCAGGTGTTAAGCAGGTACCTGATTTCTGTTTTAAGCTTCCCAGAGGTCCTTCTGGCTGCTGGGCAGAGGGTAGCAGGGAGGTGGCAGCAGGATGGATCAGTGTTCGCGTGTCCCTCCCTCCTGGTGGGTTCAGTAGCCCAGCAGAGCCGGGGCGGCCTGTGCCAGGGTCGCAGCCCATTCTGAGACAGGCAGGGTCACTGACAGACCGGCAGAGACGGGAGAGGGAGTGTGAGCATCAGCTGAGACTGGAAAGCTGCCGAGGGAGCAGGCGGGAGTGGCGGGGGGCGGAAGGCGGGCTCCTCCTCTGCAGAGTGTTCTGCGGCTTCTGGGAAGTACAGGTTACACACGCGTGGTACATGCAGAAGGCGAGTGTCCAGCATAGAGAGTCTGAGTTCTAGCACACTGATAGAAGCCGAACATCCAATGTGCCTCTGACCAAATTACCTTCTCTCAAAAGCTGTATCCATCCCCGAATATTGTCTAAACTTCATTTTTGCTCTTTATTAGAAACAAAAATACGTTCTTATGCTATGAGCTCTACAAAATCAAACAAACAGTGGTGTGTACATTTTTTCCCTGGGGCAAAACGAGATTGTTTCCAGAAACCTCTTGTGTAGATAATCAAATGCCCCAAATCAAAGCCATTGATAGCTACCAGCAAACAGTGGGATTTCAGAAAATAGTCTGTTAAATACACACAGCATTGCCCTAGGTGCCTTTTTTAAAAGTGCCCTTTCAGAAGGGAAGCTCTCTGTTGTGTCTTATAGCTCAGTCGTCTATAGACCAGAGATGAGGAGAGGGAGTGGACACAGGGCATCAGTGTTCTAGGGCACAGATCCGTCTGCTAACCTTCCGCAGGCCTCGGTGCCAGCCACCTCAGGTCGCTCATCTGAAAGAAAAAGGTGGGACTCTACTACTTCTGAGGTCCCTTTCCAGTTCCAGGTTCTCTCTAATTTCCTCTGCTATGTGGCATTAAATGTGCATTTCACCGCCTAAAAATTGAGACCTAACAATAGCTAATGTAGTGTGTCAGGGTGCCAGGCTGTTCTCCGTCCTTTACAAATGTTGTAACACACCATGCTCATAAAACCTTATGAATTGCATAGTACGGTTAACCTCACTTTACAGATAAAGGAAACAGGGGCACGAGAAGGCTCAGGCCCTTTGTCCAGGTTCACCCAGCCGGAAGGCAGCAGCGTGGCGGTTGGCCCGTGTCGGCCCCACACGTGGGTCTTTTTATCTGGTTCCCTGAATGCAGGTAGGGCTGTGGTGGCTGGAGCTCAGGAGCCAGGTGCAGATTCTGAAACAGCTTACAGAATACTGGACTGGGGGTGGCCTCGTCCTGTGAGTAGGCGAATCACCACCGCCGAGCCCCCCCTCATTTGGCTACCCTGGCCTGCCACGGGGGTGCCTGTTGCTCTGAAGGGGTGAGGCAGTGCACCTGCCAGTCCCTCCACCATCGCATTGGCTGAGTAGCCACCTCCCTTCTGACTGGTTGGGAGTGAGCAGCCGGCAGTTCTTCCCTTCCATGCACATAGTTGCGTTCCCACGCAGCTGCTCCATGCCGCTGGGAGACCTGCAGGCGCTGCATGTGTGCATGTCGGTGAGAGTTTCCCAAAGGCCCAGGGAGCCCTGGTCAGGATAGTGGTGTGGCAGTGGGGTAGATGGATGTTTGAGTTTAGGGCTAGTAGTTAATAGCAAGACTTTGGGGATTCATGATGAGGGATAACATGAATAAAGTAAATACAAGAGACCAGTGGTTTGAACTCACTTTCCTACCAGACTCTCTCCGGTACCACCAAGCAGTATGATTGGCCAGCCTGACGTAAGCCCGGGCTCTCCCCCACTTCCCAACGGGGCTGTTTGATCTGCCTGGGGTGGGAAGCGGGGAGGGGGCAGGGTGGCCCTGGATGAACACCTGGGGGCTCTCGGGGGTCCACAGCACAGGCACGGCCCCAGTGCCTGGCCGAGGGTACTAAAGCTTTAGTGCCAGGTGGCTCAGGGAACTTGCTCCCCCAGGCTGCCTCCATGCCTAGGAATTAAGTGACTGAATCACTTAATAATTTAGGTGATTTAAAGCCACCATAATGGGAATTTGTAAAGCCTTTCATCTATTAGGGCTAAAAGGGACCCTGAAGATTTGTGAGTTGAATCCTTCCTTTTTACTGATGGGGCATCCATGCCCAGGGGACTGAGTCGCCCGGCTGGTCAGAGGTTGACTGGGCGTAGGTTAAGGCATGGGCCACTTTGCAAGACCCCTAATCCCACGAAGAATGTTTAATGGCTCATCTGAGAAATAATATTTATGATCCAGTATTGCCTTCACTTCAAATTTTTAAATGCTTATTGTTGCATCTATGTATTTTTTTTAGAGAAAGAAAAAAACCATCGGTCTCGTTACCAAAGGTAGCACCCCTACCATTTGTTGACTCCATCCCTCCCCCCTACCCCCTCTGCGTTCCTCCTTCCCCTGGCCACTGCCTCCACATGCACACCTACTGTGTGCTATTGTCTGTATGGTAATGAATTGTCACCCAGCAGCCCCTCCTGACATCGTCCATGGCAGCGTGCGGGTGCACACAGCATGTGTGATGGCCGCAAGCCATTCATTTGTTCACATCCTGCTGGTGGTCATGCAGTTCCTGGCTGTCCTGCCATTACAAAGAGAGCCGAGGTGAGCACACGTTCACATACGTGTTCTCATTCCTAGTTGCTTAGTCTTGGGGCAAATTTCTAAAGCGAGAGCTACTGCATCACAGGACAGGCGTGTCCCTGCTGTCCTGTCTGTCTCTTGAACAACGTTCTAAACAACAGCCCATCTTCCACGTCACAAATAGAAAAAAAGGTGTCTGCATCACAGACACAGGAAAGATGCTTGCCCCAAATAAATTATTTTAATAATTGTAGCAGATAATTTGAGAGGCTTACCGTTTAAAATTAGAGACCTTTCTGATAGAGAAAAGAAGTTATTCTGAAAGGTGAACAGTGCCCCCCTGGTGTGTTTGGGAAGAACGGAAGGCCTGCTGTACGTGTTCTTAAGGACAATTGGCTGTAAACCCGAGGTAGGAATCTACTGTGACTGAGTCCGGTGTCCGGGTTCAGGTTCTGTGGAGGGTTCTCTGTCATGCTGCTTCACATGTGCTCCAAAGAGAAGGTTGGCAGGATAAGACACTGATGCCTGTGCATAAAGGACAGCCTTTAATGCGTGTCATATATTCATAAGTCGCTTGTGCCAGGGGCTTATCGATCACAGTTCTCTCCATGATTGAGATCTGAGCATGTGGTTTTCTTGCCTTCTAGAAAAGCCCCATTCCACCTGTGCCCCTCCAGCACAGTGCAGTAGGAATCCCAGATGTGCGGCATAAAGCCACTCTCCTTGACCAAACAGGATACCCTCTCTGCAGGAAAAAAAAAGTCATTTTAATAGTAGCACTTACCTCTTTTAATTTTTTCCCAGAGCTGTCTAGTAGCGTTACAGCTCTAACAAGGCCGTAGAGGCCCAGGGTTTCTCAGCTCTGCTCTCTGGGACCAGCCTTCTGTGGATGTATAATACGGGTTATTGCAGGGTAAGCCTCCTTCCTCCTTGATGGTACAACTCCAGTGCCCTCTTTCACATACCTGCCTGTGCCACGTTCTCCCTCTGACTTTTCACCTTTGACAGTCCATGTTCTGTGAAAGACAAGTTCTGTGGGTTCAGTAAACCAGGTAGCACAAATCTGCTAATGCGCAGGGACAAACATCATTTTTGCAGTTGAAGAGAAGAGGTTTTTTTCAACCCTGGATGGAAAAAAAATAAGTGTACGGTGATGCTGAGTGCATTTGAAATAAACTTTGGAGGAAGGTGTCTTACGCAGCTGCCTGTTACACCTAATTGTGGGCATTTCATGCCTTTGGACTCTTGGGTGTTTATGCACCTCCGGTGTTGCCTTTCTGTCAGTGCTGGTACTAAGCAAGTGCAAATGTAACACTCCGTGGCCGCGATGTGGCTGGCGAGGAATCGGTGAGCACGCGGGGATGCGCTGGTCCGATGCCAGGAGTCCTGAGCGCTCAGAGTAGCCAAAGAACCACTCCTGTCTCAGGGTTTCTAGTCTGAATCTGAAAAATGTGTCCACGTGCTCTTTCTTTTTAATCTGGAATAGAATTCTGTAATGAACACATGGGACTTGGTGAAACAGATCTAGTCGGCGTCCACGCTAAAAATGTCAGCCAGTAAATGTCCCAGTGGGGTCGTTTGTTTTGCACGAATCAGCCTTTTCCCTGAACATTCTCACTTTGTGTTGTCTGTGTGGACACCCCGCAGTGAAGTGAAGTATGCGCCTTTGACCGGTCTTTCCCCTCTCCAGCAGTATTGAGGGGTAACTGACCATTCTAGATCAAGTACATCGAGGGGTGCGGCTCGATGGCTCGGCATGGGCAAGGGCGTGCCTGGCGCCGGAGTCCCTGCCGTGCCCGGGTGGCCAGTGTCGGAGGGCCCGCTCTGGAGGAGGCGGGGGCCCTGCCTGAGTCCCCCCACCGCCGAGGGCACCAGAGCCCTGGGACGGGCCCAGTGAGGGGCGGGTGCTGTGCCCGCCAGGTGGCTCCGTGGGTCACGCTGTCTGCTCGTCGCCGCAGAGATCTCGTTCCGCGTGTGGCAGTGCGGCGGCAGCCTGGAGATCGTCCCCTGCAGCCGCGTGGGACACGTGTTCCGGAAGCAGCACCCCTACACGTTCCCGGGGGGCAGCGGCACGGTCTTCGCCCGGTAAGTGGTCCAGAGGCCGCGCAGGGGCGGGAGCAAGGCTGTGGGGGCACAGACGCGCTCCGGGGAGCTTGGCGGTGACGAGGTGCAGCTGCTGGCCCAGCAGCGTGGGGGCCTCTCCGGGCCGCATGCTGTGCGGCTCCGCCGACCCGACCCGACAGTCCCACCAAAACTTGACTGTCATAACGGAGGAGAGCCCGTGGGGCTGGGGCCGGGCTGGGAGGTGGGAGGGGAGTGCAGAGGGTTAGCCAGCGGCCTTGGGGTGATGGGGCCTCTGGATCCCGGCAGTGCGGCGAGAGTCGTGCCCACCTGTGCGTGTGTGCCAGCCCCTTGGCCACGCCCCACGCCCCCAGAATGGCGTTACAAGCAGGTATTAGTTTAAAGCAAAGGAACTTACATTTTTTATTACATATCACTATTCAAGGCACATATATGAACAATATTCAAGTCAAGCCATATTAAATTCAAGCCCAAAAGACATTACAATAGGTATGATTTGTGATAGACAAGGGATATATTTTTGCAAATATGAAGATGCCAGTGAAGAGCTTTCTTAGGAAGAACAGCAAATCACCAGCCCGCAGGACCACAGTTCTTCCCAGGGGACTCTCCGATGCTGGAAGTGAAGCAGTGTGCAAGCCAGGCAGCCTGGCCTCGGGAAGGGGGTGGTCAGCCCGGCACAAGCATGGCTCCATAAGAGCAGTGCCAACGCTAACAATGCTGTGGGGAAGATAAAATGTGGTCTTACAGCCGCAGGGACCGGCGGAGGAGCTGGTGGCATGCACAAGGAGGGGCTCTCTGAGGAGGGGGCGCTTGCTGGAGACCTGAATGGTGGGAAGGAGATGCCATGGGACCCCTGGGGAGGAATGGGTCCTCGGCACTGCCACACGGGGTTTTGGAACAGGAAGGCGCCTGGTATGACTGAAGCCTAGAGAGTGAGTAGACAGTAGGCAGCGCGGGAAGCCAGCCCAGCCCCATCTTGCACCTGTGTGTCCTGGGAAGCTCTGGGTGGTGTTTGGATGCCAAAGGAAGCTCTAGCAGGTGTTAAGCAGGTACCTGATTTCTGTTTTAAGCTTCCCAGAGGTCCTTCTGGCTGCTGGGCAGAGGGTAGCAGGGAGGTGGCAGCAGGATGGATCAGTGTTCGCGTGTCCCTCCCTCCTGGTGGGTTCAGTAGCCCAGCAGAGCCGGGGCGGCCTGTGCCAGGGTCGCAGCCCATTCTGAGACAGGCAGGGTCACTGACAGACCGGCAGAGACGGGAGAGGGAGTGTGAGCATCAGCTGAGACTGGAAAGCTGCCGAGGGAGCAGGCGGGAGTGGCGGGGGGCGGAAGGCGGGCTCCTCCTCTGCAGAGTGTTCTGCGGCTTCTGGGAAGTACAGGTTACACACGCGTGGTACATGCAGAAGGCGAGTGTCCAGCATAGAGAGTCTGAGTTCTAGCACACTGATAGAAGCCGAACATCCAATGTGCCTCTGACCAAATTACCTTCTCTCAAAAGCTGTATCCATCCCCGAATATTGTCTAAACTTCATTTTTGCTCTTTATTAGAAACAAAAATACGTTCTTATGCTATGAGCTCTACAAAATCAAACAAACAGTGGTGTGTACATTTTTTCCCTGGGGCAAAACGAGATTGTTTCCAGAAACCTCTTGTGTAGATAATCAAATGCCCCAAATCAAAGCCATTGATAGCTACCAGCAAACAGTGGGATTTCAGAAAATAGTCTGTTAAATACACACAGCATTGCCCTAGGTGCCTTTTTTAAAAGTGCCCTTTCAGAAGGGAAGCTCTCTGTTGTGTCTTATAGCTCAGTCGTCTATAGACCAGAGATGAGGAGAGGGAGTGGACACAGGGCATCAGTGTTCTAGGGCACAGATCCGTCTGCTAACCTTCCGCAGGCCTCGGTGCCAGCCACCTCAGGTCGCTCATCTGAAAGAAAAAGGTGGGACTCTACTACTTCTGAGGTCCCTTTCCAGTTCCAGGTTCTCTCTAATTTCCTCTGCTATGTGGCATTAAATGTGCATTTCACCGCCTAAAAATTGAGACCTAACAATAGCTAATGTAGTGTGTCAGGGTGCCAGGCTGTTCTCCGTCCTTTACAAATGTTGTAACACACCATGCTCATAAAACCTTATGAATTGCATAGTACGGTTAACCTCACTTTACAGATAAAGGAAACAGGGGCACGAGAAGGCTCAGGCCCTTTGTCCAGGTTCACCCAGCCGGAAGGCAGCAGCGTGGCGGTTGGCCCGTGTCGGCCCCACACGTGGGTCTTTTTATCTGGTTCCCTGAATGCAGGTAGGGCTGTGGTGGCTGGAGCTCAGGAGCCAGGTGCAGATTCTGAAACAGCTTACAGAATACTGGACTGGGGGTGGCCTCGTCCTGTGAGTAGGCGAATCACCACCGCCGAGCCCCCCCTCATTTGGCTACCCTGGCCTGCCACGGGGGTGCCTGTTGCTCTGAAGGGGTGAGGCAGTGCACCTGCCAGTCCCTCCACCATCGCATTGGCTGAGTAGCCACCTCCCTTCTGACTGGTTGGGAGTGAGCAGCCGGCAGTTCTTCCCTTCCATGCACATAGTTGCGTTCCCACGCAGCTGCTCCATGCCGCTGGGAGACCTGCAGGCGCTGCATGTGTGCATGTCGGTGAGAGTTTCCCAAAGGCCCAGGGAGCCCTGGTCAGGATAGTGGTGTGGCAGTGGGGTAGATGGATGTTTGAGTTTAGGGCTAGTAGTTAATAGCAAGACTTTGGGGATTCATGATGAGGGATAACATGAATAAAGTAAATACAAGAGACCAGTGGTTTGAACTCACTTTCCTACCAGACTCTCTCCGGTACCACCAAGCAGTATGATTGGCCAGCCTGACGTAAGCCCGGGCTCTCCCCCACTTCCCAACGGGGCTGTTTGATCTGCCTGGGGTGGGAAGCGGGGAGGGGGCAGGGTGGCCCTGGATGAACACCTGGGGGCTCTCGGGGGTCCACAGCACAGGCACGGCCCCAGTGCCTGGCCGAGGGTACTAAAGCTTTAGTGCCAGGTGGCTCAGGGAACTTGCTCCCCCAGGCTGCCTCCATGCCTAGGAATTAAGTGACTGAATCACTTAATAATTTAGGTGATTTAAAGCCACCATAATGGGAATTTGTAAAGCCTTTCATCTATTAGGGCTAAAAGGGACCCTGAAGATTTGTGAGTTGAATCCTTCCTTTTTACTGATGGGGCATCCATGCCCAGGGGACTGAGTCGCCCGGCTGGTCAGAGGTTGACTGGGCGTAGGTTAAGGCATGGGCCACTTTGCAAGACCCCTAATCCCACGAAGAATGTTTAATGGCTCATCTGAGAAATAATATTTATGATCCAGTATTGCCTTCACTTCAAATTTTTAAATGCTTATTGTTGCATCTATGTATTTTTTTTAGAGAAAGAAAAAAACCATCGGTCTCGTTACCAAAGGTAGCACCCCTACCATTTGTTGACTCCATCCCTCCCCCCTACCCCCTCTGCGTTCCTCCTTCCCCTGGCCACTGCCTCCACATGCACACCTACTGTGTGCTATTGTCTGTATGGTAATGAATTGTCACCCAGCAGCCCCTCCTGACATCGTCCATGGCAGCGTGCGGGTGCACACAGCATGTGTGATGGCCGCAAGCCATTCATTTGTTCACATCCTGCTGGTGGTCATGCAGTTCCTGGCTGTCCTGCCATTACAAAGAGAGCCGAGGTGAGCACACGTTCACATACGTGTTCTCATTCCTAGTTGCTTAGTCTTGGGGCAAATTTCTAAAGCGAGAGCTACTGCATCACAGGACAGGCGTGTCCCTGCTGTCCTGTCTGTCTCTTGAACAACGTTCTAAACAACAGCCCATCTTCCACGTCACAAATAGAAAAAAAGGTGTCTGCATCACAGACACAGGAAAGATGCTTGCCCCAAATAAATTATTTTAATAATTGTAGCAGATAATTTGAGAGGCTTACCGTTTAAAATTAGAGACCTTTCTGATAGAGAAAAGAAGTTATTCTGAAAGGTGAACAGTGCCCCCCTGGTGTGTTTGGGAAGAACGGAAGGCCTGCTGTACGTGTTCTTAAGGACAATTGGCTGTAAACCCGAGGTAGGAATCTACTGTGACTGAGTCCGGTGTCCGGGTTCAGGTTCTGTGGAGGGTTCTCTGTCATGCTGCTTCACATGTGCTCCAAAGAGAAGGTTGGCAGGATAAGACACTGATGCCTGTGCATAAAGGACAGCCTTTAATGCGTGTCATATATTCATAAGTCGCTTGTGCCAGGGGCTTATCGATCACAGTTCTCTCCATGATTGAGATCTGAGCATGTGGTTTTCTTGCCTTCTAGAAAAGCCCCATTCCACCTGTGCCCCTCCAGCACAGTGCAGTAGGAATCCCAGATGTGCGGCATAAAGCCACTCTCCTTGACCAAACAGGATACCCTCTCTGCAGGAAAAAAAAAGTCATTTTAATAGTAGCACTTACCTCTTTTAATTTTTTCCCAGAGCTGTCTAGTAGCGTTACAGCTCTAACAAGGCCGTAGAGGCCCAGGGTTTCTCAGCTCTGCTCTCTGGGACCAGCCTTCTGTGGATGTATAATACGGGTTATTGCAGGGTAAGCCTCCTTCCTCCTTGATGGTACAACTCCAGTGCCCTCTTTCACATACCTGCCTGTGCCACGTTCTCCCTCTGACTTTTCACCTTTGACAGTCCATGTTCTGTGAAAGACAAGTTCTGTGGGTTCAGTAAAGACTGAACACCAGCTACCCACACATACAGCCCAGGATGCCAGGCAGGGACGGCCTGCTCTCTGTATCACTGCCAAAGCTGTCAGCCCCCCTGGGAGGACCTTCCCAAGTGGCGCCCCAAGCAGACAAGTGGAAGAGATGCCGACAGGAAGGAAACGGGTCAAGCTCAAGGTGATGTACTTTGTCTCTAGTAATACCCGCCGGGCAGCAGAGGTCTGGATGGACGAATACAAAAATTTCTATTATGCAGCAGTGCCTTCCGCCAGAAACGTTCCTTATGGAAAGTAAGTGTCTCTGTGTCCCCCCCAATGCTGTTCTGCTGGTGGTACCACATCCCAGGTCAGCCTGCACCCCAAAACAGAGCTGTTCTGTGGCCAGGGGTGAGAGCAGCTACCCGGGTGTCAAAGGGGAGCCTCTGCTGAATGCCCTGCAGGCAGGGCCATGAGGGCGGGTGCCTGGCAGGCCGGGTGGGGCCGCGAGGGCGGGAATGGGCACCCCAAGCCCTGCTGCCTGCCCACTCTAACACTGTGTCAAGGAATCTTGTCTCCTCCTCAGCATCCAGAGCCGACTGGAGCTTCGGAAGAAACTGAGCTGCAAGCCGTTCAAGTGGTACCTTGAAAATGTCTATCCAGAATTAAGGTAAGGCCCCAGAAACCCAGAGTCTCGCTCTGGAAGGGCTGAGAAGCCACGCAGGGCCCAGAGGCCGTGAGGCCTCGAGAGGCGAGGTGAAGGCCGTGCTCAGGACTAGGGCCTGTGAGCTGGGGCCCACGGGGGGCTGTGTCCATGCCCGCAGCCATCCCCAAGCCCCCCTGACGCGCGGTCTCTGCTCCTCCTCCCGCTGCGCTGCCCTCCCATCCTTCACGGATGCAGGAGCGCCACGGTGCCTCCCCACCGGCAGATGACGGTGAAGGGCCCCAGGGCTGGCTCCCAGCCTCCCACCTGCACCCTGTACTGCTGCCCGGCCTCCCTGCTCCAGCCCCCGTGGCCTCGGCCTCCTCACCTCTCCCACTGCAGGCAGGGGCAGGAGCAGAGGGCCCGGGCCAGCCTGGGCACGGACTGAAGAATCAGTCCGCCCTGCCACCCCCACATTGCACCTCCTGTGCCTAGCCCTCCGGCAGAGGCTCTTGCCACACATCTCCCTCCTCCAGGCTGGGCTTGCCACACACACAGGGAAATCATAACGCTGGCACCCTGCTTCCCTCCAGGATTAATGATGGCGGCGCTACCCTTCTGAGCCCTGTGTCGGCATCTGGCCTTTCCTTTCAGATGAGCGTGCCCTCCATGCCCAGGGAGCGCCCATCTGCCCTATTCAGAGGACCTGGAGGTCTGGGGGCCACAGGGTCCTTCTGAGCTTCATCATCGCAAATGCAGGGCCACACGGTTTTGCCTTGAAGTAGCACATTCCTCACCCCGAGTATTTCCAGATCCTTTTACGTGAGCCACGCATCTGCAGCAGTGACTGAGGGCAGGAGTCCTGCCCTCTCTGGTGTGGACACCCCTTCCCAGCGCCTGGCCCAGAGGCCCGGGGGGGTCGGCCGTGCGGCCTCGCCTTATCACTGCCACGCACACCTGACTCCTTGTAACTGTTCCCTCTGCTCTAGAGGAGCGTGCAGACCCCGTGCTGTCCCTGAGCCCCGGGGGAGCCGCGAGCAGGACCCTCTCCTAACTGACCCACCCAGTGAGGGGTGGTGTTCACTGGGGCTGGGCCCAGCCATGGTCCCGAGCGGGAGCCTCAAGCCAGCACCTCCCCATGAGTGGGGGCTTCACTGCAGTGCCCTGCAGCCCCACAGTGGTGCCCGCTTTGCTTTAGCCTCACAGTCACCTGTGACCTGGTGGGTGATAATGCCAGGCAGAGTGACATCACGTGCCGCTTTGCCCCGAGCTCCCCTGGGCTTTGGAACGGCACCAGGCCCCACCCCTCCTAAGCCCACACAAAGCCCACAGCACTACAGCAGCAGGTGAATCCGCTTCCCCCGTCCTTGCCAGGCGGGGATGTCTGCACGGTCGGTGGTCATCGCTGCCATGCCATGGGGCCGCCTATGGGCCGGGCGCTGGGTGATGCTGAAAACGGAAGGTTTTATGTAATATTTGCGGCAGACCTGTTTGGTAGGTTCCGTGCAGAGGAGGCAATTGGGTTTAGAGAGAGTGAGGGTCTGAAAGTCACACGGCCAGCGCACAGCGAAAGCCGGGCTCACGTCTGGGTCCAATCCTGAAGCGTGCTGCACTCCCCACCAGGTTCTGTTGCTTTGTTTGTGTCAGGCCACCTGACAGACTCACTGCACGCTCTGTCTCCCAGGTCTAGGTCAAGTCCCAGGTCTGTTGGGAAGTTCAAGGGAACAGGATCTGAACACATTAGTTGCTTTTCTGTATGACTTCCAGCAGCCTAACGCTGCAGAGCACAGGAGCTTTCCTTCCAGAAAAATGTCCCCGTATGGAATAGGAAGAATTCTCCTCTGACTTAAAGTGTTCAGTTGGGGTTAGAAATCCAGAAACTCGGACCAGTGCCGTCTCACTGGCTGGCTGCCGCGGTGGATGGGCAGCCAGGCCGCAGTCCCATGGGGCTGCGCTGACCACTCTCACGTTGCCTCCCAGGGTCCCCGACCACCAGGACATAGCTTTTGGGGCCTTGCAGCAGGGAACCAACTGCCTGGACACTTTGGGACATTTTGCTGATGGTGTCGTTGGCGTCTACGAGTGTCACAACGCAGGCGGGAACCAGGTACATGCGTGCGATGGCCCGGTCGCCCCGGGAGAACGGGGCGGGGTCCTGAGGCCACCAGCCCAGCGCACCCCGTGGTCCGAGGGGAAGCGCCCTGCTCCCGGCGTCCGCTCTCGCCGTTGGCCTCAGGCGGGCAGGATGTCCTGGACCCACGGCCATGTGGGGCCTGTCACCACCTCCAGCGGGGCTCTGCACCCGCAGCCAGAGGCGTACAGCCAGGGCACAGCTGCAGGGCTGGCGCATCTCGTCTTCCCGCCATTCTGTCCCTGCGTGCTCCTCCCCAGAGCACCTGGTCCGTCTGCGTGTGCACCTGGTGTATGTGTGTGAGCACCGCCTGTGTCCCCGTTTAGTAGGTGCCTGACCACAGCCACTGTGGCTGCCACCCAAGCCATCACCGTGCCCCTCCCGTTAGGTGATCGCAGCCTAGCTGTGAAACATGGACAGCTGCCCGCTCCAGTGTGGCACACGCACACCTTTCCCTGGAGGCACGGGGCCATGTTCTGTGTGTGGAAAGGTGAGAGGGAGGTGGGAGCTCAGTGGGCCTCACTGTGGCCTGGGCGTTCCCCGGCAGTGCTCCAGAAGGTTCCCCGTGAGATAATGAGTATTTGGTGAAATGTGGGCTTCACACACAAAAATGGTTGGGCAATGCTAGAGCCTCTTAGCTCCTTGAAAATGCATCTGCCTGTCAAGGACCTGCAGTTGTTTAAAAACAAAAGGCACCTTAACTCTGAATCCCTGATGTATTGATCCCAGAACCTTCTTTAAGAAGAACTATTTTTAAAAGAGGGTGCCTGCCCTCCTGTGAGGCCAGCTGTTCCGGGTCTTGGCAAGGCGTGTCTAAGCAGACTAATCCCCACACACTTTGCCTTTCTTCACTTGGTGATGCCATTTAAGCAGTTGCTTGCTTAAAGACTCAGGCAAGGGGGGCAGGCGGTCTCCAGCCAGCTTCTGAGCAGCGTCCAGGACCAGCCCCGTGTGTACATGCCGCCTCCAGCTCCCGGGGTCCCACCTCTGTCCCCAGGGACCTCCTCTGGCCCCTGAGCTGCTCTCAGGAGGCCCTTTCAGGGAGGAAGGAGGTGGGGCAGCATGGGAGGCCATGGGGAGGCGGCTGCTGCCGGCTGTGTGCAGAGGTGGCAGGGCTGCCCCGTGGCCCCAGACCTCAGTCAGGCACAGGGTCTGAGCTCCGTCCGCAGAGCAGCCGCCGTGAAGGACAGACAGAATCCACCTGCCAAGCACTTCCCCCTCACCCTCTTCTTCCTTTTGTTTTTTTGCTATTGTGAGGCCCCTGCTACTCTCACATGGGGCTCTTCCCTCCGACTTAGCAGGTGTGTGCTGGTTCCAGCTGCACTGGTACTGGGTGTCCCCTGATGGCTGTGCACTGGGGTAGCCCCACGGCTTTTAGGAAATACTGACAGCCAGTCCGTGCCCAGCAAGCACGGCTCAGTTAGCCTGCGGCCAGGGAGCATGAGGGTTTCTGAGTGAGCCTCAGTGAGCAGCCTGGGAGCGCCCTCCTCCACAGCCCGCAGAGGCCAGAGAGCCGCCTTCCTGGTCCGCACTGTCCAGGAATGCCCGTGTGGTGCAGGAACATCCCGGGCACCTCACCGTCCATCCGCAGCCACCAGCCACTTGTGCTGGCCTACACTGAGGATGTAGGGTTTTATTCTATTTAACTTTAATTCATTTAAGTGGCTCTTGTGGCAGGCGGCCACTGTCCCGGGAGGTGTAGTCCTGGAGGAGACAGACCCTGGGGTCCCTTGTGCTGCTCGGAGGTGTCCCTGCTCAGCGGCCACGCGGGGACCCCTGATCAGGTGGGAGGGGGTGCTCCTCAGAGTGGTGTGCCCTTTGGACAGGACACAAGAAGGTGACTGACATTTCCTGACTGGAAACAGGGCCCCGTGCTCTGGAAGAACAGGGTTTGTTATCTGGTTTCTGGCACGGCCTCCTCAGACCCACAGGAAATGGGCAAATTAGTGGCTGTGCTTTTCAGAGTAGCCAATCAAAAAAGCATTTCTTAAATATTTATGAACTTTACGCTACAGATTCAGATCATTGAAATGCACCAGATGAACAAGTGGCAATGGGCTCAGTTGTTTGCATAGTCGGATTAGTTCTTTGGTAATTCAGTATAAAGTCTGCTTTAAAATGATCACGCACACAATAGCAAAGTTGCAGAAACACGCAGACCTGAGATTTACCTGGACATCGGCAAGTCTTCCACCATCTCTCAGGCCCCGCTCCTGAGAACCGTGTGCACCCTGCTGGAGGCAGTCAGGGTGGGGGTGCCCCTTCCCAGGACCTCCCTGCCCTGGTGATGGTGACTGCCCGGCTGCGGCCTGGGAGCACAACCTGTGGAACAACAGCATCCTGGAGGGTGGGATCCCCTCTCAAGGTGGTGCATGCTGGTCCCAGAGAACGCTCTGCAGAGCTCGGTGCCGAAAGTGCCTCTGGGGACAGATGGGGACAGGTGGGGCCCGGGCTCCGTGTGCCCAACTGTGGTTGATGCTAAGGAAAACAGGCCAACCAGCTGCTTCTGCTCTTGACTTCGCAGGGCCTCTCATAGGCCGGCTGTGAATTTGGGAGAGAAGGAAGGAATGTGGCCCAAATTCAGTATTTCCCAAATTTATTTAACCTGGAACCAACTTTTCATAGAATTCCGCAGAGTACAGTTTGAGAAACAGTAGTTCAAAGGTGAGAAAATTGAAGCTGAGGGGAGTGAGGGGCCTGGCCCGGAGTAACCCGTGGGGAGAGAGGGAGGCCTGCAGACAGACCAGGGCCACACCAGCCTCTCCGAGGCAGCCTGGCCTCTGCTGCACCGGCCCCCGGCTCCTCTGCGGCTGGACGTGCTCGCCACACAGGCACAGCCAGGGTTCAGCGCATCACAACACCCTTAGGTGCTAAGCTTTCCTCGCGGTGGACCACTGGGTCCGAGGTGACCCGCGTGCTGAGCAGGGAGCCTCTTGAAAGCCCACTTCTTCCTCCCTCACCTCTGTCCCCAGGGTCCCCACATGCCGGCAGCCACAGTGTCCGTGCCCTCACGTTACCCGGACCCCTCCAGGAGAGCGAGGACCTTGAGCACAGGGCCTGGCCAGGATGCCCGCTGCCATGTGCCCGGCCCCTTGGGGGCACCTGAGTCATTGCAGGGGTGCAGGGGACTGTCACAGAGAGGGAGGGAGGTGGGAGGGACAGCTGTTGGATGGATGGATGGATGGACGGACAGAGAGACAATCTGCAGCAGTTTTCATGGGCGTGTAGCAGAAAGGGACTCGGAAGGTAGGTCAGGTGTCCTGCAGGAAGTGGAATCAGAAGAGGCCTCTGCCCCTGGGTCCTGAGGGCTCACGTGGACATTCGTCCCTTTGGGAGGTCGAAGCCCCGTGCGGCTGCCGGGTACCCAGGGCAGCTCCCAGCCAGTGGCCGCGCTCACCTGTCCCTGTTGTCCAGCCCTTCAGTGGGGTGTGTCTGTGTGTATATTTGCGTTTTTAAAAATTAGAGGCAAGTGATTTCAGCATGCTCCGGCTCGGTGCCTCCCCTGTAAAGTAGGGGACTGACGGAGGCGATCACGGAGCCAGCGGGGGGAGGCACAGGTCACAGTAAAGCGAGTCGGATGAATTTTGATTTCCCAGTGCAGATGAAGGTTTACTCTGCACTCCACCGTGATCCCAGCCATGTGTGCAACGGCATTATGTCTTTTAAAAGTGCACACCTTAGTTAAAAAGTACTTCATTGCTAATAATACTGACCATCATTTGAGCTTTCAGTGAGTCTTAATCACAGACTACAGATTGCCATAACAAACAATTCATGAAAAACTTGGAAATATTGCTGACAATTACCAAAACATGACTCAGAGAGAGGACGTGAGCTACTGCTGTTGGGAAAACGGAGCCAGTAGCCACACTCTGTACCGGTTGCCACAAATCTTCAGTTTGTAAAGTGCAGCCTCTGCCAAGTGCAGTGAAGCCTACAGCCTGGCCTGGAGCCATTACATAAAGGCCTTAAAATACTGCTTGGCACATAACAGGCACGCAGCGTAGCAGTGTGGCATGTGTGCAAATACACAGATCCGATCCTCGGGATCTCACCAGACTTGACAAGGGCCCTAGATCCACTTGGCGCTCAGCTGTGAGGCAACACACTATGTATTTTGCTTATATTTGCCATATACGATATATAATTCTCACACATTACAATCCACATTCATAAATGCTGTTTCCAGACCACACCTGCGTGGGGGCAGTCTTCCCAAAATATCGTGGGTGGAAAGAGTGGCTCTGAATGCCCCATCTTATGGGTGACCAGGCTTGAGCTGCAGAGCCATAGCTCACATTTAAGGATAGAAAAATGGGTGCAGTGCTCGAATTAGCATTTGGGGCTAAAGTAGTTCCTGTTGTTCATCTTAGCGACTCAGGTGCTGGAAGCCCTTCGGCCCAAGTCGGTCGACTTAACGCTTGATTGTGGGGCTCCTCCACCTGCCAAATGTAGATTGGGCATCAGGCGGAAAGGCATCTGTGGGCTGTGGGCTGGCTCGGGTGCCTGCGCGCAGCACGCCTATGACCGCTGTTCTGCGTTCCAGGAATGGGCCTTGACGAAGGAGAAGTCAGTGAAGCACATGGACCTGTGCCTGACCGTCGTGGACCGGGCACCTGGTTCGCTCATAAAGCTGCAGGGCTGCCGAGAAAACGACAGCAGACAGGTACGCTCCCGGCACCTGTGCTCTCGCGGCCCAGTGTGGCCATGCTGTCTGAGTGACCTCCAGCCGCCCTGCTCGCCCGTGAGCTCCTTGCTTCCCTCAGAGTCCCTGCCAGGCGGTCGGGTTCCTGGCGTGTCGGAGGCGCACAGCAGAGCCTGGCCAGGATGATTGTGAGATGGTGCCACTGGGGACAGATGGGGACATGGGTGCCATGAGGGCTGCTGGGCTGTGCCCAAGAGCGCCCAGCGCCAGACAGCTTGCTTTCTCCCCTCTGCCCACTGATCCCGCTGCCCTGAGTCGCATCTGCCTATAACCTGTTACCTGCCTCACCCTCTAGCTGGACTAAAACTCAGGGGCCGTGTTTTGTGATTGGATATTCAGCTTCCCCAAAGGGTCCTAAGGACCCTCTCTGGGCTGGGCGCTGTGGTCGGGACACTCAGCACCCCTGGGGCATTTCCTCCTCACCGTGTGGTGCAAGGGAAGCCGGCTGGTGGTCCCTTTCCAGAAGCTTGCTTGTAACAGCCATAATCCCCAGGCGCTTGCACCTGACGCCCTAAATGTGTTTGTCTGGTGATGCCAGAGACGTGGGTATTTTGGTGGCTGGTGTGTGTGTGTATCTGAGTGCTGGCATGGCGGGGACCCCCTAAGTCTGCCCCATCAGACCCCCTGCACGTGGAGGCACGGGCCTCAGACCCAGACAGGGCCAACAGCAAGCAGCACCCTGCGGCCCTGCGGCCTCTCCGTAGAACCAAAGCCCAGAGCAGGCCAAGCAGGTGGCCGGGTGCACCACACTGAGAACACAGCCCAGGCTTAGAGCCCGGCCCACTTGGGTCCCTTTCAGAAGATGCCAGCCTGAATGAGGGGACGTCTTGACTGAAAGCTTTGTTTAAAAAAACAGAATATTAGTAGGACTTTATTCATGAGAAGTCAGTGAAACGCTGACCTACAGGAAGTAAAAGATAAGCAAGGGTCATAATAATGCCTCCGAAAGGAGGTGGTCTCACTTTGTTTCATTTGTGTGCACCGATAAGCCCCCTGCCCTGGAAGGAAGGCTGTGCAAAGGCCCGTGTTCTTCAGCGGGAAGCTTATTTCCACTTAGACCTGCACTCCCTTCTCCCTGCCATTGGATATTTTGAAGAGAAATAACATGTATTTGTTTCTTCATTAAATATTTTCCTTTTTAAACTTAAAAAAATTCTAAATGATTAAAGTTCAAATTGATGAGACCTTATACACACACACACACATTTAAGTGTGTGTGTGTATATATACTTATTACTTTTTCCAGACAGTTCAGAATAAATCTTTACCTCTTCAGCTGGTTTCTCTGCCCTTTGCCTGGAGGTCACACCCGTTTGTGTGCCTGGGCACGGACGCTGGCTTACCTCCTTACGGGCCCTGCCTGTGAGGCGGATGAGTGTGGGGGCTGAGCCGCCATACCTGCAGGAACCAGGAGCCGAAGCAGGCTTCTGGTGCAATGCTGATCGCACAGAGGGGAAACAGGCCCCAAGTCTGGGCCTGCTCCGCCATGTCACCCAGGAGGAGCCAGGCCAGGGCATGTGCTTAGACTCCAGATATCAGGGGGAGGCTTGCACAGGGCCATCCTGCATCTGTGCATCCCCGGCCACTGCCGTGCGCCCTCCTCCACACCCTGCCAACCCCTGGCCTGGCGTGGCAGTGGGCACCTCCTCTTCGGGCCCCAGATGCCCATCCGTGTTGGTGATGCAGTGTCGTGACTGTGTGGTACCCTAGCAGGAGAGACTGATAAACAGGAGGCCAGTGTCCCTTGGGCCCAGACCCCCTGGAATTCTGCAAACTAGGGTCAGAGAAGCCTGCATCAGGCCATCCTACCCCGGCACCAGCTGTCATCCCTGGGGGTGATGGGCAGGGATGTCTGGAGACAGAGTGATAAAATCACGACCTTATCTGCTTTCCAAACCCTTTTGAGAAAAACTAGACGCTTACTGTCTGGGGAAGCTGGCAGGTGTTCCTGCTGCAGCGTCAGGCCCTGGGAGCTGAGAGGCTCACGTCAGGAGGAGCAGACAATTAGCTTGCTGGATGTGCAGTGTCTTAGATATGTCCACCTGTCATCCCCGGACTTCGCCCACTAGAGAGGATTCTGGGGATCATTCCAGCAGAGCCCTGATGTCTCAGAAATCTGCCCCACCCACAACTGTCCCTGCAGACCCAGGGGTCCGAGCTGAGAGGCTACCTTCCAGACACAGAACTGGGGTTTAGTTGTTTTTCTGAGGCCTTCTGTTGAGCTGAGGCTCTGATCCATGACCAGCGGAGCTCCTCCAGAGAACAGTCAGATTCTATTCATTCCACATTCTTTGCCCAGCGGGTTCCTGAGTGACACATGGGCGTTGGCAGCCAAATACACGCTTTATATGACAATGGAGGAAACAGCCTGAAGTACGGCTGCAGCAAAGAGGGAGCCAGGAACGCGGGCGGAGAGGACAGGCCGGGTGAGATAGCCGCCCCTGGCTCCTCTGATGGTGCCAACTTTCACCGTCGGCCAGACTCCAGGCTAGCAGGCCACAGAAATGAGTGGTGTGGGTCCTTGGAGAACATCCTCGCCAGCGGTCCTCGGGTGGAAGGCCGGTTCCTGGGCACATGGCTCCTCGCCTGCTCTGCCTCCTCCCCGCCTCATTCCTGTGCCCATTGAGAAGAGGCTGCTCAGCTAGTTTTATCCTGAAGCTGCACTGCCTTGCCCGTTAGGCTGTTTGGTTTCCAGGCACGTCTGTGCGTTCATGTTACATGTGCATTTGCAGAGTCAGGGGAAAGGGAGGCGAGTGTAAGAAAATTCAATTCCACAGTGTTGAAGGATTTGCAGGAATACTTTTGGAGAGGAGCTTTAGTGTACACCGTGTAAAAAACTAGAATCACAGACTACATTAATGGAGAGCTTCAGGGGAGAAACAGTGTGTTACCTTTTTTTTTTTCTAAGAACAAGCATTAGGGAGTTTTACATAGGGATAAACAACAGGATGAAGGTCCTTAGATCTCTTTCAGGCTGAGTTGTGGTTTTTATTTTCTGACTTTGGGTTCGTGGGTTGAGTTTGATGGTTGACTGGCTGGTGGGTTGAGTTTGATGGTCAACTGGTTGGGTTAAGGTTGGTTGGTAGGTTGGTTGGTTGGTTAGTAAGACGTTATACTCAGTTCTTTACAAGTGGCATGTTTGGAACTTGGCAATACGGCTTGTTCCCTGCTACGTATAGCACCGGGGAACCACAGGAAGGCAGAGTCGGGTTTCTCACCGAGACACTCACACCCTAATAGAGAAGACAGTCTGGAAATAGGTTCCTCACCAGGGACTTGTGTCCACATGAGCATCTCATTCCCTCTATCTGATCCGACTCCGTTCCTCTGGCTCAGCTGAGCTCTAGGCCTAGGGTGGGGGCGTGGAGGCGCCCAGGTCAAGGCCTCCAGGCAGGGCTGCCTCCCCGCAGCCGGGGCAGGGCTGGGGCCCTCTCGGAGCCCGGCAGCTCCTTGGGGCTCCTTCTGTGGGGTGGAATGCCATCAGATGAGGCCTTCTTGCAGATGAAAGCAACCCCCATAGGAAATCCCCGTGTCACATCCTTGTTAGTGACCGAGGAGGGTCGGGTGCCCAGAGCACTGGGGCTTGCCCAAGGGGACAGCCAAAGTGGGGAAAGGATGGGCCAGGAGAAATAGTCCCCTGTGGGGCCCAAGAGAACGTTTTGATTTATAACCAGAGGCGGAGAGCACGGGCTGCCTTCCAGCCGCACCAGCAGCTGATTTGCCTTGGGGCTGTTCCCAGCTCGCCGCCTGTATGATCAGAGACCCAAAAAACAAATTTGTGTTTTTAGTACAGCAAGAAGCCCCTGAAATGGATCTGTTCTGTATGCCTCTGCCCATGCTCCCATCATCAGGCATTCTGCTGTCCTTTGCAGAAATGGGAACAGATCGAAGGCAACTCCAAACTGCGGCACCTGGGCAGCAACCTGTGCCTGGACAGCCGTGCGGCCAAGAGCGGGGGCCTGAGCGTGGAAGTGTGCAGCGCTGCCCCGTCCCAGCGGTGGAAGTTCTCACTCAACCTGCAGCGGTAGGAGTGGCTGCGGCCCGTCCCCACCGTCAGGCGGAGTCCGGTGATCACATCATTGATTATGTTTCTTAGACTTTCCACAAAACTATATACCTCAGTATTCCATCACGGTCTGAAAATTGGAGGGCTGCCGCCAGGTGCGGGACCTGGGCAGATGTGGAAGAGGTGACAGGTGAGAGTGGCCCTGGCAGCACAGGTGCGGCCCAGCCTGGCCTGTGCTCAGCCCCTGGTGTGCTGCTCGCCGGACCCCGCAGGTGAGAAGCCACCAAGCAAGCCGGGCCAGGGGCGCGGGGGGCAGGGGTCGAGTCGCTACATCACAGCCAGGGGAACCATTTGAGGTCTCCTTTTGGCCCCATGACACCGTGCACGGTTTCCGCACCACCCAGTCATGCCTTGATGCAGATCTACGCTGACCCATGTTGACCCCTCTCCCTGCCCCCCCAGTCCCAGCCATCTCCCTAGCACAGACCCCTCCCTCTTCCACATGATGTACTTGCTATATCTGACTGTGGACTTTGATGAGGCGGGACACTAAACACGAACACCCATAGAGAAAGCGTGCAGGCCATCCCTCTGGGCTCTGAGGGTTGTCCTTGTCCCATAAATTCCCTGCAAAGCAGTTCACGGCTGTGAGGAGGAGCTGGGGCCAGGCCCCCACTCCCGGGGGGAGCCTGCAGCCTCCTTTACCCCTAGAGCCTTGTTGCCGACCAGGTGCTACTGCGGAGGCCCCAGCCACCAGCCTCTGCCCAGGCGCCCCTGCCGGCTTCCAGCCTAGGGTCACTGCTCTGTGTGGGAACCCACTTTTTCATGTCTGTGGTGTCTGTAAATCTGGATGGGTTACTTCTGTTGACAGTTGCTTTGGGTTTTCTTACATTTTCTTTTTAAGAGAAAAGCCCCCCACCCCGCAGCTCCTGAGGATGGTGGGAAGCTGCCACAGGCCAGCCAGGGCCCTGGCACCTGGCCTGCCCGCTGTGTCCCCCCAGGCCCAGGTGACTGCCTTGGGGGCTGTGGGTCAGAATTAGGAAGCGCGGACACCAAGCAGTGCCTGGTCATCGGCACCGAGGATTCAAGTTGCAGACAGGGGCCGTGAGGTGTAGGAAGCAGGTGTCAGTACCAACCACACACAGTTAAGACCTGAAGGTAATAACAGGCAGGGGTGCCTGGGCACCTGTCCCAATGCCTGGGAGTGTCCTTGCACAGTGCTCCTGTCTCCAAGGTATCCCCACAGGCAGCAGTCCCTGCAGAGGGGCCCCCGCATGATGACACGGATGGGGCGTGGCTGGGTGACGGTGCTCCATGGCCTCTCCCTTCTTGCCCTCTGCCAAGCAGCCAGGTGTACTTCCAGTGCACAGGGAGGCCGTGGCTGGATTAACTCTGCACACTTGGGTCTCCGGAGGCCGATCTTGCCTCCAAGTGGTCTGTGGGAGAGAGGCCAGGCCCCTTGCAGGGCTGTTGCATTGGGGCAGGCGGGAGCCAGTGGCCGAGCCTGTGCCCTCAGCCCAAGCCTTGGGGTTCCGTCGCCAGACCCTGCCACCTGTGAGCTACTGCTGCTGTTAGGAAAACTGCCCCACTGATGGGAAACAAATTTGGCTTTGATAGACAACGGATTTTGATCAGGTTCTTAGTGAATCCTTCACCCACTCACCTCCACCCCACCCACCCAGATGTCTTACCAACCTTTGTACAAAGCTTATTTCCACTTAGACCTGCACTCCCTTCTCCCTGCCATTGGATATTTTGAAGAGAAATAACATGTATTTGTTTCTTCATTAAATATTTTCCTTTTTAAACTTAAAAAAATTCTAAATGATTAAAGTTCAAATTGATGAGACCTTATACACACACACACACATTTAAGTGTGTGTGTGTATATATACTTATTACTTTTTCCAGACAGTTCAGAATAAATCTTTACCTCTTCAGCTGGTTTCTCTGCCCTTTGCCTGGAGGTCACACCCGTTTGTGTGCCTGGGCACGGACGCTGGCTTACCTCCTTACGGGCCCTGCCTGTGAGGCGGATGAGTGTGGGGGCTGAGCCGCCATACCTGCAGGAACCAGGAGCCGAAGCAGGCTTCTGGTGCAATGCTGATCGCACAGAGGGGAAACAGGCCCCAAGTCTGGGCCTGCTCCGCCATGTCACCCAGGAGGAGCCAGGCCAGGGCATGTGCTTAGACTCCAGATATCAGGGGGAGGCTTGCACAGGGCCATCCTGCATCTGTGCATCCCCGGCCACTGCCGTGCGCCCTCCTCCACACCCTGCCAACCCCTGGCCTGGCGTGGCAGTGGGCACCTCCTCTTCGGGCCCCAGATGCCCATCCGTGTTGGTGATGCAGTGTCGTGACTGTGTGGTACCCTAGCAGGAGAGACTGATAAACAGGAGGCCAGTGTCCCTTGGGCCCAGACCCCCTGGAATTCTGCAAACTAGGGTCAGAGAAGCCTGCATCAGGCCATCCTACCCCGGCACCAGCTGTCATCCCTGGGGGTGATGGGCAGGGATGTCTGGAGACAGAGTGATAAAATCACGACCTTATCTGCTTTCCAAACCCTTTTGAGAAAAACTAGACGCTTACTGTCTGGGGAAGCTGGCAGGTGTTCCTGCTGCAGCGTCAGGCCCTGGGAGCTGAGAGGCTCACGTCAGGAGGAGCAGACAATTAGCTTGCTGGATGTGCAGTGTCTTAGATATGTCCACCTGTCATCCCCGGACTTCGCCCACTAGAGAGGATTCTGGGGATCATTCCAGCAGAGCCCTGATGTCTCAGAAATCTGCCCCACCCACAACTGTCCCTGCAGACCCAGGGGTCCGAGCTGAGAGGCTACCTTCCAGACACAGAACTGGGGTTTAGTTGTTTTTCTGAGGCCTTCTGTTGAGCTGAGGCTCTGATCCATGACCAGCGGAGCTCCTCCAGAGAACAGTCAGATTCTATTCATTCCACATTCTTTGCCCAGCGGGTTCCTGAGTGACACATGGGCGTTGGCAGCCAAATACACGCTTTATATGACAATGGAGGAAACAGCCTGAAGTACGGCTGCAGCAAAGAGGGAGCCAGGAACGCGGGCGGAGAGGACAGGCCGGGTGAGATAGCCGCCCCTGGCTCCTCTGATGGTGCCAACTTTCACCGTCGGCCAGACTCCAGGCTAGCAGGCCACAGAAATGAGTGGTGTGGGTCCTTGGAGAACATCCTCGCCAGCGGTCCTCGGGTGGAAGGCCGGTTCCTGGGCACATGGCTCCTCGCCTGCTCTGCCTCCTCCCCGCCTCATTCCTGTGCCCATTGAGAAGAGGCTGCTCAGCTAGTTTTATCCTGAAGCTGCACTGCCTTGCCCGTTAGGCTGTTTGGTTTCCAGGCACGTCTGTGCGTTCATGTTACATGTGCATTTGCAGAGTCAGGGGAAAGGGAGGCGAGTGTAAGAAAATTCAATTCCACAGTGTTGAAGGATTTGCAGGAATACTTTTGGAGAGGAGCTTTAGTGTACACCGTGTAAAAAACTAGAATCACAGACTACATTAATGGAGAGCTTCAGGGGAGAAACAGTGTGTTACCTTTTTTTTTTTCTAAGAACAAGCATTAGGGAGTTTTACATAGGGATAAACAACAGGATGAAGGTCCTTAGATCTCTTTCAGGCTGAGTTGTGGTTTTTATTTTCTGACTTTGGGTTCGTGGGTTGAGTTTGATGGTTGACTGGCTGGTGGGTTGAGTTTGATGGTCAACTGGTTGGGTTAAGGTTGGTTGGTAGGTTGGTTGGTTGGTTAGTAAGACGTTATACTCAGTTCTTTACAAGTGGCATGTTTGGAACTTGGCAATACGGCTTGTTCCCTGCTACGTATAGCACCGGGGAACCACAGGAAGGCAGAGTCGGGTTTCTCACCGAGACACTCACACCCTAATAGAGAAGACAGTCTGGAAATAGGTTCCTCACCAGGGACTTGTGTCCACATGAGCATCTCATTCCCTCTATCTGATCCGACTCCGTTCCTCTGGCTCAGCTGAGCTCTAGGCCTAGGGTGGGGGCGTGGAGGCGCCCAGGTCAAGGCCTCCAGGCAGGGCTGCCTCCCCGCAGCCGGGGCAGGGCTGGGGCCCTCTCGGAGCCCGGCAGCTCCTTGGGGCTCCTTCTGTGGGGTGGAATGCCATCAGATGAGGCCTTCTTGCAGATGAAAGCAACCCCCATAGGAAATCCCCGTGTCACATCCTTGTTAGTGACCGAGGAGGGTCGGGTGCCCAGAGCACTGGGGCTTGCCCAAGGGGACAGCCAAAGTGGGGAAAGGATGGGCCAGGAGAAATAGTCCCCTGTGGGGCCCAAGAGAACGTTTTGATTTATAACCAGAGGCGGAGAGCACGGGCTGCCTTCCAGCCGCACCAGCAGCTGATTTGCCTTGGGGCTGTTCCCAGCTCGCCGCCTGTATGATCAGAGACCCAAAAAACAAATTTGTGTTTTTAGTACAGCAAGAAGCCCCTGAAATGGATCTGTTCTGTATGCCTCTGCCCATGCTCCCATCATCAGGCATTCTGCTGTCCTTTGCAGAAATGGGAACAGATCGAAGGCAACTCCAAACTGCGGCACCTGGGCAGCAACCTGTGCCTGGACAGCCGTGCGGCCAAGAGCGGGGGCCTGAGCGTGGAAGTGTGCAGCGCTGCCCCGTCCCAGCGGTGGAAGTTCTCACTCAACCTGCAGCGGTAGGAGTGGCTGCGGCCCGTCCCCACCGTCAGGCGGAGTCCGGTGATCACATCATTGATTATGTTTCTTAGACTTTCCACAAAACTATATACCTCAGTATTCCATCACGGTCTGAAAATTGGAGGGCTGCCGCCAGGTGCGGGACCTGGGCAGATGTGGAAGAGGTGACAGGTGAGAGTGGCCCTGGCAGCACAGGTGCGGCCCAGCCTGGCCTGTGCTCAGCCCCTGGTGTGCTGCTCGCCGGACCCCGCAGGAGAGAAGCCACCAAGCAAGCCGGGCCAGGGGCGCGGGGGGCAGGGGTCGAGTCGCTACATCACAGCCAGGGGAACCATTTGAGGTCTCCTTTTGGCCCCATGACACCGTGCACGGTTTCCGCACCACCCAGTCATGCCTTGATGCAGATCTACGCTGACCCATGTTGACCCCTCTCCCTGCCCCCCCAGTCCCAGCCATCTCCCTAGCACAGACCCCTCCCTCTTCCACATGATGTACTTGCTATATCTGACTGTGGACTTTGATGAGGCGGGACACTAAACATGAACACCCATAGAGAAAGCGTGCAGGCCATCCCTCTGGGCTCTGAGGGTTGTCCTTGTCCCATAAATTCCCTGCAAAGCAGTTCACGGCTGTGAGGAGGAGCTGGGGCCAGGCCCCCACTCCCGGGGGGAGCCTGCAGCCTCCTTTACCCCTAGAGCCTTGTTGCCGACCAGGTGCTACTGCGGAGGCCCCAGCCACCAGCCTCTGCCCAGGCGCCCCTGCCGGCTTCCAGCCTAGGGTCACTGCTCTGTGTGGGAACCCACTTTTTCATGTCTGTGGTGTCTGTAAATCTGGATGGGTTACTTCTGTTGACAGTTGCTTTGGGTT